CCTTTGTCGATGAAGCCAAGACCTTTGTGCGACATAATCCGTGGACATACTATGTGTCCTACGCAATCTTCTTTGTGTCACTAATCGTCCTCAGTTGCTGTGGAGACTTTCGCCGCAAGCACCCCTGGAACTTGGTTGCACTGGTAAGAACTTCACACCAGTCTAACAGGGGGCGGTAAAGGAGAACACTATACTAACAATAACACTGTTTCCGATTCCTGCAGATTTCCTCTTCAGCATAAATACTTGTTATGGCCCGGATATAGGGGTTGGCTCATCTGTATGCTATCTTCTGTAAATTTAACTCTATATGCAGCTGCAGATATTTAGAAGTGGTGAATGAACTAAAGTACTGGAGAACTCGAATAATCAGACATTTTCAGAGCTACAAGCCCCACCCCTAAACTTCTTGTATTTTTGGAAAGTACTTCACCCCTGAGCAGGGGGAGGTGGTTAAAAAAAAAAAAAAAAAATTTCCCTGGATTTTATATAAGGCTGTGGTCCCTGTGGACCTTCCGAAGGTTTCTAGTTCCTGGGTACTGCTCCTCAGTTTAAAAGCAGTTTATCTAAGTGAGAATGGGAGCTGGGTTTGAACTCTGTCAGCTCTCAGTTTTAAACACATATATGTGGGACTTTTCTTGTAAACAATGGAGTAGATTGTCTTCCTTGAGAGACAAAAAATGTACTCAAATAATGAAGAAGTATTTCTGATCCAGGATACTCTGGCACATAAACATGGGCATTGAAAGTGTTTCATGAGTTGTGTTCATTTGCATACCTTCCTGTGTCTTGCAGTCCATCCTGACCCTGAGCCTCTCCTACATGGTGGGTATGATCGCCAGCTTCTACGACACAGAGACCGTCATCATGGCTGTGGGCATCACTGCAGTGGTCTGCTTTACTGTGGTCTTGTTCTCTCTACAGGTCAGTGGACACAGACTGCTGCTGGAATAAATGTATTTTAAATGTCTACACGGACAAATTACATTTCTATTTGTAATCTAGATTTGTGTGTCACTTGTTTTTATCATAGCTCATATTTTATAATACCTTTCTCTCTTGGTCTTTTCTGAGCATATTTTCCTCTGTTGTTCTTTCCCACAGAGCAAGTATGACTTCACTTCCTGTCGGGGTGTGCTGTTTGTGTGCCTGATCGTGCTGTTGCTCTTCTCCATCCTCTGCATCTTCATCCGCCACAGGATCCTGCACATCGTCTATGCCTCACTGGGGGCTCTGCTCTTCACCTGCGTACGTTTCACACTGTGACATCATTTTGGTGAAGTTTCAATAAGGGATAATTACATCGACAGAATGTTAGAAGAGTAAAGCAGAAAGCAACAACCAGCGATTTAGTAGTTGTTTAGCTACTTTCCTTTGAAAGTATCTGTTAAAGGCCGTTCAACAATATTTTTATAAAAAGCATCCTCTACTTCACTCAGTGGGCATACACAGTCCCGTCATATGCTGGGTTATTACCTAGTTCTGTTATACTAGTTCAGTATCCGTTCGAAATGTGCCTGTCTTTGTTACTAATGTTCTGCGTCACTCTAATAGTGTCTGGATGACGGTGCAGAAACTGTTGTTGCAATTGTTTTGTGCCTTTCTTAAAACCCAGGCACTCGCGCTCTGTAAACTCTCTGGGTGCTGGACTGCCCTCTCATGCTAGCTCAGCCTTTTTCTCCATACCACGTAAAAAGGAGAAGAACAATGTCAAAAGCAATATCGCGAGTACTCTGTCAGTCTTGGCTGTATTATGACCATGGATATATTTTGGTAATGTTATTGTAGCATCTAAAATTATTAAATATTTATAGAACTTGTATGTCCCTCATTTTAGACCCAATGTTTCTAAATCTTTTGGAATGACTGATTTCATCCTTCTTCCTCTCTGCAGTTTTTGGCTGTTGACACTCAGCTTCTCCTGGGCAACAAGAAGCTGGCCCTGAGTCCAGAGGAGTACATCTTTGCTGCCCTCAACCTCTACACTGACATCATCAACATCTTCCTCTACATCCTGGCTATTGTGGGACGCTCCCGTGAATGAGGCTCCACCTTGAAAGAAAAATGAAAGCAGGGAGAGAAAGAGCACCTCCCCATTATTGTGAAATGTCTTTAATGTTCCCTTTTATCGCTGACTCCTTTCACTTTTTTCACCATTTGACTCCTAATTTCCTCATACACTCACTCCTTTTTAATGAGGTAGTAGGGCTGTGGAGGAGATGCAGCTGGTCATATAAGGCAGCTGAGCGGGGCGCTATTTATCAAATTGCCGTTGATGACAGAATGCGATGATCTGTCTTTTCCTCAAGTTAGACATAACTGCTTGCTCTAACTAACTGCTTTTACTAACACAACATAGTGTCTGTAAGTCCCACCCAACCCCTTCACCACAGTATAATACATGTTATCCTGTGAGTGCTCGGCATTAAACAGAGATAAAAACGGGTGGGGAAAGAGTGGGGAAGGCATCTGTAACCTTCATTACTGATGCAAAACGTTTTTGCCTGAAGAGTGGAAATTAGTGCTAGAAATACTTCATCCAATTTGTCTGTTTCCTCCGAAAGTATCTCTCCCTTTTCAAACTGCTGGTGTAAAGTAACTCTGCATGGCAACACTGGAAACACAACTAAACCTGTGTTACGATTCTCTAATCCGACCGGAGGAATATCTCTAGCTTGCTTGTCACGGCTGTAAATAGTTATGTGTATTACTTTATATGATGCCATACTGCCCCTGCCACTGAAAGGCATTCTGGGGCGATTCATATGGATGTGCTGCTTTTTGGGAAACGTGTGCTCTGGTCTCAGAACTTTGCTGACCCATTATAGTAACTAATGATTTACAATGGCATAAGAATGAAGATCGGTGTTGGATGTGTCTAGCAAACATGAACATAGATTAACATTCAGGAAGTATATTTTCTTGTTCTTTTCAAAAGGAAGGAAAATTCTCGTTTCACAGCTGAGATGATCAATTATCTTTTGTTGTTTTTCTTTACTGTTCTCACAAATTCCCTGTTGTCTGTTCATCAGTGTGAAGTGACATTTTAGTGTTATATTTATTTTTTCCTCCTTACAAATGTGAAATATTGAAGTGCTGGAATTTCTAGCCACTTTTATACCAAGCTAATCCAGGTTTCAGCACTACTGATATTCTAAAACAACTAATGTGAAGTCAATGGACCCTGATCTTGTGGGAATAGTACTTATAACTTTTCTATTTATTATGCTTGACATAGATGGCGGGGTTGCTTTGAAGTTGCTAAAAGTGGTGTTAAGGAAAAACAAAACACTGAAATGTGACTGTGCTTAAGTTTATTGAGAGACCATAGCATACTGGTTGCATAACATACAAAGTGCAGCAGGCTAAAGAAATCAATATGCACTGGAAGCCAAACAACTCCTACACACACAACTTGAATGATATATTTAACGCTAAGATTTTTAATTCTGTAACTTCTGTTTTGAATTTTCACTTATTGCATGACACTTTCCCCCCATTTGCATGTGCTGATGATGCACACTGTACAGGTATTACAGAGACACTGTTGTTTGACAGCCCTGTTAGACTTTTCTGTTTTTTTAATCTTGTGTTTGTATCTAACTAACGTGTATGTGTGTATATACAACCCCTTAGTGAATTGATGTGTATAGATAAAAGTAAGTTTTGGGCTTTGTAGGTCTGGTTGCATTGTATATTTGCATTAAATCAAAATGGTACCACATTACTGGACACAGCTATTCAACAAAACTGATGCAATGTAAAGGTGTTAACTTTGTGTTGGTGAACAGGAAAGTGCAAATCAGATAAAGGACATTTAACATCCAAAGCTATTTTGAGGGCTGTGCTTCTGATTGTTATTATTAGAAAACTTAATCAGAGTATAAATAAATTGGAAAAAAAATATATTTTAATTGATTCAGAGTATTGGCGCTTTTGAATAAGTTGTCAGCTACAAATAACACGTCTAAATTAAAGTGTTTATTTCTTATGCTCAGTTCTCAGTTTATTAGGAACACCTATCTCAAACTAATGCAATCAAACACACTAGTCCTGCATTAAATCCTACCTCTGTGACGATCAGCCACGCCACAAACTACAGCCTCCATAACAATCACACAGATGAATAATCCCATCTTTCACACAGGATAATTTATGCAGGACTGTGGTGTTAGACCACATTAGTTAAACCTCAAAGTGTTCTCTGTTCTTCTTTCTTCTCTCACTCTTAAAGGTTCAGTGTGTAGAATTTAGTGACATCCAGAGGTGTATACTCCTCATCTCACCCTCCCCTTCCAAGCATGAAGGAGAACCTGTGGTGAACTTCGTTTGTCATGAAAACTCAAATGGTTTTAGTTTGTCTAGTTTGGACAGCAGTAAAAGACATGGTGTCCTCCATAGAAAGGACCCCCTCCATGAAAATATAAAGGGCCCATTCTAAGGTAAAGAAAACAACAATTCACACCATTTAGAAGAAAAACACCAGTGAAAACATCACTAGGATTATTTTATATTTAATTTCTGCCTCAATTTCACCTAAATGTTACACTCTGAACCTTTAAATAAAGATAGAATCTTCAGAATCCTGTACTAGTCAGGTTTAAAACTTTTCAACAGTGGATTTGTTCTTAAACATCAGAAGCAAACTAACATAGAAGCTTGAATGGCTCCAGAATATATCAAAGCATAAATAAAAGCTCAAAGAACAAGATGATGATCATTTCCTCTCAGAAAAAACATCCTTCTATATGATCTACATTAAAATCCCAGCAGTAAAAATGAATCACACACAGACTCAGATCATTATCCATTGTTTACAATGCATTTGGAAGCAATAACTCTCTCTCTGCCAGCTGCAGCTACGATCTTTATCTTTAACCAGTAACTTACACAACTGTTAATAAATCAATATTATTAGTAGTTTATTATTCTGCTGCTGTGCGCGTGTGCGTGTTTGAAACTGTTGGCGCCAAACGTGACTTCCTCGTGTGCGCGCCCCTTCAGCAGCAGCTCGGAGTGAGGTCACTGGGTCAGCTGAGGAAACCAGCTGGATCAACATGAGCACGTTCTCAGGTTAGTTGTCACACATGTAACTCGAGCTGCAAACCAAAACCAGTGGCTGACTCACATCCATTTAAAACGACAAAGAAATCTCGGGTGATGCGGTTATCAATAAGATTTCTCAGCTCTGTAGCATCACCTGCTAAGATGAACTTTATAAAACTGGTGGTAACGGTGAGGCAGAATAGTCAGAAGTGTACACAGTTACTGCTGAAACATTGCCAATTAGTGAGGGACATTATCTTATCTTTTTCATTTCTTAAGCCATTCATGTTAGCTAAGGGGAAAACGTCATCAGTTTAAGCTAAGAGCTAAGCTAGCTGCAGTTTCACCTCAGTTAGCCTGAAGCTAACGCTGGTGTTTGAATTGTAGTTTTTCCGTGGTCGCTCAGTCTGAGCCGAGACAAAACCGTAGATGTACCGAAAAGCTTGGGAGTTAACTTCAGCCCAGCTCCCTCTTTACCATGAGGTTAATTATCGTAGCCTGAGAGTGAAATGTACTGTGGGCAGGAGAGCTCAACGCACCGCCAATTAAGAAAAATAGAAATTTGAATGTGTTGTGACTTTTAGCACTCGCCACAGTAGAAATGGCTCATCAGCTAGTTAGCTAGAACATAATGTCATGTACGACAACAAGTTTTTCACTCCTCTGACATTTCTTTGTGTTTCACCATTAGGATTCAACCTTGAGGAGATGGTTAACATGACACCACTGAAAACAGGTAAACCAGTCACAGCTGAATGAAGTAGGCCATACCCATGAAAGGTTTTAAACAAGGCTGATGGGTCTTTATGTCCTTCTGTCAGGTCAAGAACCCCAGGAGCCCAGAGTTGAACAGCTGATGAGCAAACTGAGGTGGCTCCTTCAAGGTAGAGTCTGGCTTTGGATTCATTCAAATGCTTTTAAATAGCAGGTGATGTAACTTGAAATGTCGTTGGACGTAGAGGGTGGACATGAGAATATCATCTACACACTGTGACTGTGCTGGATTTACTCAAACTTACATCTTCTTTTTACAATTTAACATTTTCATTGAAGTGATCAATCTGTTGCATTGCGTCAAACTGTCTTTATGCCACCATGTCCACTTATTCAGACTAATAAAATAACAGCAGAAGGATTTAGCTGCACAACTTTCTTTACAACAGTTACTGTTTGATTTTGAAAGTCGTGACTATTTATTTGTATTAAAATCACTGCTCGTTAATGCTTTTATCACTATTATTAGATATCTTTCTTTCTAACATTCACTGAAAAGCTTGTTTCCTCCGTTTTGTATTAGCACCAGTTACAGTCTCTCAAAGAGTACAGGTGGAACAAGAACATGATCTGCTCCGTACTTCCGTCTTCGCGTTGAATCGCGCTTGTGTTGTTCTTGCGTGGTGTTGCAAAGCTAAAAACGTCAACATTTTACGACTACTCTCTATTTATCGTACATTATTTACTTACAGCACTAAAATACTTCATCTAAGCAACTATCACACAATATATACCCACTTTTTATTTAAGATGTTAACTCAGCTCGATCGGGATCTGTGATTTCTATCTTGTCACTGGTTACTCTTTGTGGAACTACATTTCCGCTTCCGCCAGAATGTCGCGGTGACTTTTTTTCATTGAATTACGTGAAAATCGTTTTTCAACGACCACGTGAACCACGTGTCGTTTATTCTAATGACACCAGTTGATCGTACACAGTGAAAACGCGTCAAACACGGAGGTCTTAGCTCGAACAAAGTCTTTGCTAAAATGGACCAATAACAAGGCAGGTCGAGCTGACGTCATGCTACTGAACACGCACTTTCTTTTACGGTTTAAGCAAAACAACAGCATATAGAAGAAAACACAAAAAAACAACTATCAGGATCTGAGTTCAAGGAAGAATGCGTTTAAGTACATGTAACTAGAAACAATTCAGCACAACCACGGAAATTGAAACCATGAGTGAGGTTGCCGCACATACAGATCATAGAGGAACAAGAGACGATAATGAGGCATCTTCAGTGAGGTACATCCTTACCTGTTACTCTCTAAGGAGAGTATCAGATCATGATGAGTGGAGAACTATGAGATATGATTAATGTCTCCGTCTTGTAGGGAACTGCAACACCCTACAAGATCCATTCTGATCCTTTCTTCAATGTGAAAAAATGAAAATAGTTAAATAGGAAATATCTGATTAAAGAAACCTCAATAACTGCTAAGCTGTCATTTAGACCAAATACCAAGTGACTGACATTAAAAGTAAAATGCTACCCTGGAGTAATTGTCATCATTGCAGTCATATTTTTTACACTTTTCTTATCTTAAAACAACTATTTTCCTGAACAACACAATATCTCCTTACATTTATGTATAAATGTTTTTCTACTTGCTAGTAAGGTCATCCTGTGCCACATAACATTCTATATAAACCTAAACAGTGAAAGGTGTATATTATATATATTCGTCTTTTGCCTGTTTTATAATTTATTCTTGTCTACCTCATTCTGACCTGCTTGCTGCTGTAACAGCTGCATTTCCCTGGTGTGTGGATCAATAAAGTTTTATCTTAAGTCATCTTTAACTCAATGTAGATTTATGTTACACTTAAAAATAAATAAGTTCTTATAACGTCATAACAATATCATTCCAACTCTTATGACAGTCAGCAAGTTTGATTTACATTGTGTTTTATTCAAGGTAAACGAGCCCTGGAAGAAGAAATCAACGAGGTGAAATCAGTCTGTGACTCTCTGCAGAAAGAACTGGCCACTTGTAAGATACAACATCACCACTAATCCTTTTGTTTGAGCCACGTGAATTGTACCCACTGTTTGAAGTTGTTGTTTATTGTGACCTGGCATTTCTTTGATTTTGCAGTGCAAACTGAAGCTTACCAACTGGAGGGAATCCATAAAGAAAAAGAAGGTACAGGTGACAAACTGCTTGTGTGTAGTTAAGTCCTTACAGTCCAGTTAGTGTTCAGAAGTCATAAACTTTAGTTAATGTTTTAGTTGAGTATGAAAATAAGTTGTTCATCTCTTTGAAGATGCACCAACAATAGACAAATGAGCACATTTATTAATAATGTTTTCTTCAGAGTTGTGCAGGAAGCTGCAGTTCCAGTGTGAGGAGTCTGAGCAGGACTCTGCCAGGTGAGCTCCACACCAGCCAGATTCATACGATTATTTCATGAGGTTCAGTGTTGTTCTGAAGTCTAAACATGATCCTTTCACTTTCCTTCTCCATGTTTTTAGGCCTTAAATGTGTATTTATGATGTTTAACACTAGGTGGCAGCAACGACTCAGCCAGCATCCTGAATATTTGTTTTTTCGTCGTTATGTAAAACGTTTCCTGAAGAAATATTAATGTATTCAGACTTATTGAAAGCAACACTCCTGTTATTGGGTTTGTCAGCTTTTAGATATTTTTCCTTCCTACATAATGTTGAAGCCTAACACTGAACAACTGAAATAAGACACATTTTTATTCAGTGGAATATCGACAATCCAAGCTGGATATTAAAAATAATAAATGTATTTGTGTCTCTGTAATCACTGAACAAGTCCAGTGTACACACTACATTTATATATTGCACTGGGTGATTAATCGTGTTTATTTTCTGCAGACAGTTAAATCAGAACCAGCAAAGTGAGGAACTGCTGGAACAGTACAGATGTGAAATCCAGGAATACAAACTCAAACTGCGGAAGCAGCGGTAATTTAATTGCTGGTGCAGCTAATTAGTCTATATTGACAAACACCAATTGAAGAGTTTTGAATATGTGTTGTTTATACCTTTTCTTTCACGGCAGGATGAAGTTTGAGAAGCAACTTCATCAGCTGATAGAGCAGCATAAGAATCTGCACTCCATCTTTGTAAGTTTTTGGAAAATGCCTAAAATAAAACGATGAAAATGTGACTTGTTAGTATCTGTTGTCCTTCAAATTGTTATTTAGACTCCAGAAAGGCTCCCTGATGAAATACAAACTATCGAGAGCACAAAGAGTCAACTGATATCAGCTGGTAAGTACCCACTAAATATCCATGCAAGTAAACTATCAATCAAACATTTCCTTTTGAACATGAATGTAGTATTTTCCGTGTCCAGCCTGTTCGATGTGGCCTTGTTCTGTGATTCTTGTAGAGCAGCTGAAGTTGGCTCAGCTGTTCCGCCTCGATGAGGAGCTCGACAATGTGAGGAAACAAAAGCAGTTGGGAGCAACAGCTGCAGAGGCTGCGGAGCAGTAAAACTACATGTGCAGTGGTGGATTTAGTGAATCAGAGGTAGTAGTGACCCACCAGAATCTTAAGGATTTATACCACTGACCTCAAATTAAAATGTTTGCCTACTTAATTCTATTTATTCCTGTGTTGTTAGCTATTTTATCAGAGTAGTTACTGCTTTTATATTAACAGTTCTTCAAAGCATGTGCTTATTTTTTGATGAGAATGTAACGTGTAATACTTTAACTTCTGTGACCAGCGAGTAGTTTTTTCAGATAGATAGATGCCAGTAGTTGTATCCTGGTTGCTACAATGTTCATTTTACTTTTAATATTGTGAATTAATAATATATTATACAGGTGTTCTTCAGGTTATCTTAAAAAATGTTTTTTTTTAAGTGTTGAGACATATTTGTTAAAATTGTCTTATTTTATGTATTTTAGGTCTTATTTGTATTTTATTATCTTAAAAAACATATAAATGAAAACAGTAAAGCCACCAAGACAACACACATGCCTACTGTGTACATGTCTACACAGCCACATTCAATTTCAGTTTAGACAGATTTAATGAGATTTAATAAAACACTTTTTGCAGTATTTCAAATACAATGTAATACTATCTGAGGTTTTAAAAAAAAGAACACATTTACCCTGTACAATTGTTTTCCCTTAATTAATTACTTTTTACAGCCAAGACCACATGCTTACAGTTAAAAACTGACATAAGGCACATTGATAGTACAGCAAAGGTGATCTTAATCAGGTTTGTTATGTATAATATCAACAAGCTCTCTTTATATAAATACTGCATGTACAATATAATCCTGCATATAAAAGATTGTAACCCCTGAAGTGTTAGTATAGAAAAAGATCCTCCTAACTTTTGATTTTAGAGAAGAGAAACACGCCAAACGTTAAATGGTTGATGAGCCGGGAGCTGCACTTTAGTAAAACTAAATCTTTGATTCAACAGTGTGACCAACAAAGAAGTTAAAAGTCCTGTGCAGGGCGTTGTTCTCAGAAGCTGAATGTCTTACATAAGGAGGCATGGCCCTGCTCCAGTACGCAAAATGTACCTGGTCTTTTATTCTTCCTTGCCTAAGAGATAATGACTAACTTGTCCATGAAAGAAAGATAAACAGGGGCACAGTATTGAAGAATGTAAAAATTGTCTATTTTTTACACAGATTCATGTCAAAGATAAGTACTCAATATTTGTATTTACATTGTATAAGACAGACATTATTTTAACCCCCCTCCCTTGATGAAAGCTTTGAGCCTCCCTCTCTAAATGGTTTCTTGACACTTTGGACCCTGAGAAGTGGGTCCACTCCTTAATAGAAAGGTGCATAACACTCTCAAAAGGATAAAGTTCATTAGAGCCTTACAATCAAAACTACTACTGCTGCTGCTGCCTCTGCATTAGATTTACACATTAGAAAACACATTTTCTCAATTCCTGATTTGGTCTCACACTCCTTATAATTTCACATACTTGCCCTTAAATGTTCACCCTTCATCACCCTCTTTTCTTCATATCCTCATCTTTACTTTCTCGGCTGGATTAATAATAGTCTCACAAGTCTTGGTAATACCCCCGGTAGGTTATTGGCACATGGGGAATCCACTCTCTCACATTCAGGTTCAAACAAGTCCCAGCTATACTTACACATACAGAAACACACAACACTGGTACCACACATGGGCAGTGTTTTACTGATGTTTTTTGACTGACGTGTATCTATTTTCTTTTCCAGGGTACAAAATGTACTATCTTTCTCTCACCCGCTAACTCTCTGTCAGGTTCATACAAGCTCATTTACAGGTAAAATGCCCAACCTTTTTCTGGTAGATGCAGCATCAGCCCATGCAGCCGGTATGAAAGTAGAGGGGCTCATCTTTCTCTCACCATATAAGGTTAAAGTAGTACCAAGTCTTGGCAAATGGGCACATTCCAAACTCAGTGACTTTAATTTGTTTTCAGCATTTTTATACATACGTGTAGTCTTTTCAAGTTTTATTACTCAGTGTGAAAATCCAGGAAAGGCTGCAGTGTTGAGCCGAAGAGGTACTTTGATAGTGTCGCTGGACAATGGGTCTTTTTTCCATCATCTTGCATAAAAAGTTTCCATTTAAAAGGCCGCTCCTCCATCTTTCGTTAACCCAGGCTATTCCCCATCTGTTAACAGAACAACAGGGAAATGAAACAGAGAATGAACCCACGTTTGTGTCTCTTTACCCTCCACCTCCTTGTTATCAACATTATTGTTAGGCTTCAGAGGAAACTCTTAAGAACAGTATTCTACTTAGCTTAGTGACACTTTAACCAATAAACAAAGCTCAACCTAAAGTGATGTAATAATCTTTAACGATGATATATGCGTATATAAAATAATGAACATTAGCTCATCCACTCAAATGTGACACTGTGTCAAACATTCATCTTATTTCTTCTTGCGAACTAGCTTAAATTCTGAATTCAAAAGCAAAATGAATCTGATCTCTACGTGATTTTAAACCTATATGGCTCATTAAGTAGCAAAGACGTTGTTCTCAAATTTTTTTTACATCTGGCTCTACTGTAACATGATTCAGTCTAAACCCACAATCCGACTACTACATTTACTACTTTTCATATCACTTAACATATTTGTCATATCTCTTTCTACACTATCCCTGTACACAACAAACATCAACCTTGCAGTGATAGACTACCTCAAAGCGGCTGTAGACCTTCTTCTCCTTCCTCAGACTCTCTATCCTCTTCAGCAATCCCTCCCGCTCCTGGATGTTACCCGGCGGTCGCAGAAATCGATTCTTTTTTATGGAGTTCTGTCTCTCCAGCGCCTTCTCCACTGTATCTTTGACTGCTTCCGCTTCTTCCCGCTCTTGACGGTTTTTCTGGCTGTTGGCCGAGATCTGCTCCAGAATGACTTTGGTGTCATCTCGTAGGTTGCTATTGAACAAAACAGAGCTGCCTGGGGCCTGGTGTCGGGACAAGCCTGACGTCCCTGTTGATGTCTTGTGATTTGCTGTAGTTTGGTTGGTAGTGGTAGATGCTGTGTCATAAGCTGATGAACTCTGCTTTGTGCTTGAATCTTCAGTGACCTCTTTAACCATGCTCATGCCCTTATCATCTCCTGAAGATTTCTTTTCTTTTTCCTTTGGTCCAAGGAAACCCTTTAGCCTCTGTGTCTGCTTCTTTAGGAAGTCGAGTGTCTTACCCTCACCTTTTCCCTCACCAAGTGTATTGATGGATGTATTGGATCCCGTAACTTTTTGGAGACCTTCCTTACCATCACCAGGTGTTAGAGTTGAAGAACTATGAGAGCGGATCTTTTTGAGTTCACTCTTCTCTGCATCTGTGGCATCTGTGGTCACAACCTCCTCACCACAGGAGACGCGACGAGGGTTCAGTCCTTTGAATTTCAGCTGATCCCTTCTGAAGAGCTTTGGTGAAGGAAGAGGCTTTAGAGACTTGAATATATCCTTCTTCTGACCCTCTGAGGCAGTCTCCTCTTTCTGGGTTTGAGATGTCTCTGGAGCCTTCGGGCTGACATAAGGCTTGGGACAGATTATAGAAGGTTTAGAGGAACTAACTGAGGGTCTGCGAGTCAGCTCTGCCAGTTTTGAGGAGATGTCTGGCTTCTTTGGTTCAGGTTCTGCTGAGCCAACAGAGACAGTTGAGATTTTCGTAGTTGTAGTTTTTATCGGAGGTTTTTCAGAAAGGTCTGGCTTTTTTTCAGCAGGCTCTGGGGCTTTTAGTGCGGACTCTGTCTCCATCTTTGGAGCTTTTCTTTTGGCAGCCAAGTCTTTGAAATACTGTAGTCGACTAGCCGGGTCATTAACGTTCAGAGATGATGATGATGTTGTGACTTCAGATCTTTTATCATCCTTGTTAGTTTTCTGAGGTTCCTCTTTTGCTTTAATCTCATCTTTCAATCGAATCTCCTTTTCCTTTTCCAGTTGCTCTTTCTTCTCCTTTTCCTCCTTCTCCTTTTCTTTCTCTTTCTCCTTCTCCTGATCTTTTTCCTCAACCTTCTTTCTCCATTCAAAAGGCTCACGAGACAGTGACCTTCTCTTTTCAAGTATCTGGGCCACAATCGAAGAGGTGCGCACTTTGTCTAACTCCTCATCTTGCTCTGTGGCTGGTTTTAATCCCAGGCTACCACTGTGCATCTCTGCTTTGGAAGATGAGAATATTAGCGAAGAACGGAGACGAGAGCTACGTTGTAGGAGTGGATTAACACGTGAACGAAACGATTCATGTTTGGACACAAAGAGATCTGTAGACTTTTTCCCCTCATCATCCACACCCACTTCCTTTGCCCTCTCTGGATCTCTCCCCACTTCCAGGGCATATGGCTTCAAGTCACTGACTGAGGGAATCAGATCATTAGTTGTTGTTGGGGGAGATTCTTTATTGCTGCCCTCAGTTAATTTGGGCTTTCCAAAGCGTGGTTTCAGGACGTCTGGTCTTGGCTTTGAAGGAACTGTAGGTGGCTCCTTTATTCCAAAGCGAGAACCTGAATTTTCAGCAGCAGCAATGGGCTGCTGATCTTCAAATGCATCAGGCCCCAGTGGTTGATGCAGGCCTTCTTCTCCTCCGTCCTCACATGTGCTAAAATAGGAGTGGATTCTCCAACTCCTTAGGCCTTGCTTAACACTTGGATCTTGATCCTGCTCTTGATCAGATTGTTTGAAAAACTGTTTCTTTTCTGGTGGGTGGGGCTGTGTAGGTGAGCTCTGGCAGGCATAAGCCTGACCAATTGTTGGCCTCTTATGGGCAGATCCTCCTCCATATCTTCCAGCTAAAGGAGGCGCCTGGTGACCTTCAGATGCTATCAAGTCCTCAGATGAAAAGTAGTCTTGGCCATAATGTCCCGGTGGAGGCTCCTGATCTGAGCGAAAGCTTGATTCTGAATACTGGTCAATGGAGAGGTGTGAAGGACGCCCTCTGAGTCTGTCGTAGTGTCCATGGCCAGAACCTGGCCCAGGCCCTTCACTGTAGAAATGGCTACTTTGGGAATGCTCCCTGTAAAGAAATGACAGTGATTCTTATTTGTATGATTATGAATTGTGCTCACATCAGATGACGACTGTGAATTGATCAGATATTGAACAGTTTAGGAATTAAAGTGCGACTACCTGTGAAAGTCTGTTTCATCCAGATTATTCATGACCCTGTGCTTCATGTATTGCCTTGAAGATGAGTAGCTTTCCTGGGTTCCCTCTGCATAGCTGTGCCTCTTGAAGCCAGTGGCACTCATCTCCATCTGCCTGGACACTATGGATCTTCCCTGCTCCAGGAAGGACTGCTGCATACGAAACTGTTGCTGAGAATACTTTCCAATTGTAATTCCTGCACCAGGTTCAAGGGTATGACGAAATGGGTCATTCCTCCGGAAGGGAAGTGCAAGGTTCCGATCAGAATCTCCGTAGGGGAAGGCAGAAGGAAGCTCAGCCTGCCTACGGTAAGTTATTGGGTTACGCAAAGACTGGGTCCTCTTTAAACCAAACTGGCTGCTAAGGTAACTGCTGGTGTCAGAGTGAGTAAGTGCTCCATTTGACGGGTCAATGACTAGAGGTTCTGACTGAGCAAAGAGGATGCGGAACTCTTCATCAAAGGTGGCGACCAGCTCCCCAAGGAAGAGGTGGGCAATGCAGCGGTGGATCTTCTCATAGGACCACATGAAACTAACAGAGAATAAGTTGTTGAGAATAAGTTTACAGATTGATGGGCAGGGTAGACTTGTCAATTAAGTAGACTCATTGTTAGCAATTAACTAACTCACCTGTAGTTCCCACTGAGTACAGCGTTGCAGTCTGCCAACAGGAAGCGATCTTTCACTTGTCCCTTAAATGATTTCCCCGTCCGGGAGTAATAGGTGGTTCCTGCCACAGTCCTGACACGCATCATCTATAAAACCGAAAAATCATGGACACATACACATTTTGGTAAGAATTATGTGTTTCAATTTAATAAAAAAAGGAATAAATGCCACAGGATTGCCAGGTAATTGATAAATCTTTTGACAAAATTTTACGTGAAGCCAAACTTACAGGTATTAAGTCCAAGTTGACTTTGCAGCTGATAACCATAGACGCAAAGTGATGGGCTTCCTGCTCATCCAGTAGAATGTAAACAGGAATGTGGCGAGCTGCTGCATCCAAGAGGTCAGCAAAAATGTCAACGTCTGTAAACATGTCCATCACCAAGGCAATAACCTGGAACAGAAGAGCAAACCAACTAGTCAAGGCTTGTTCTGTATAATATGGTATGTTGTATTCTGGTAATAATGTTCTTCATTTGCAGAAGCTCTGGCAGAGGCAGCTGCTTATTGAGTTTATCAGTAAAATAAGATAAATAATAGAACATTATACATTTAAAAGCACTGTACATAATATAGTATATACAGGTTTATGACATAGTGCACAAAGGTTAAAACTGTAAAATTAGGATTAAATATTATATAGAATATTGTATTAAATCAAAATACTCAACCCTTAGTCTTAGTAAGGCTCTGTATGTTTCGGCAACAAAAGAAACATCAAAATACTTATATAATATAAAACTTAAATAATAACACAAATTAATTGAGTTTGTTAAATTAATAAGTTTTACAATTAAAACAATTCATTCACCAATTCATTTATTTTTTTCAGTCATTTAGAAAAATGGATGTGATTTAAAACAAAGTTTGCATTTACTGCACAAAGATTATCAGCAATAAAATCTGTTTAATTGGTAATTTTATATACCAAACCTGGGCTAGTAGGATTAATGACCCATGTCTCTAAGAACCTGTTTGTCCTCTGTGTATATTTTGAAACACTTCACTTGTAAGTAACACCCTCATAAATTGTGTCCAAAGTAAAAGCAACAGACATAAAATCCAAACACAGACAGACATGAAGGAAGAACAGCAACATGACCCACCACACTGACTGGTTTGACTGCTCATGACATTTAGCATACACTGTATTTTTAATTTAACCGAAACAATCATTCATCTGAAGGGAGTGGTAGCAGTGGCAGATAAAAAGTAAGATTAAACCAACTGCTTTCAGACATGCACTAAACTCTGCATGTATGAACGCAAATTCCGAGTGAGATGCTCCCTGGATTCACCATGAGTGAGTGGGGGGGTTGATAATGCTTCTAACACACAAAAGTAATAAGAAAAACAAAATGAAAAACAAATCTCTCTAGCTGAAAAACAGTGTCACAGACATAGAAGACACCAACGAAGATGTCAAGAGAGTTTGTGGTGATAAGACATGACACCGGTGTCTGTGTGAAAATCACGTGATCTCTGCAGCAGACACGTCCCTTCCCGTCTCTGTCTGCTGCACCCGGCTACTCTCGCCTGAATAATGCGGAGGATTTGTTGCTGTAGCGAACGCGTCTGTAAAGAAAACCTCCGCCTGCGTTATGCATGTCAGAAAAGAGTCACTGGCAGCCATTTATCTCAAGTCTTTTTTTCAAGAGTTAACACCTGATATGTACAGTACAAACTGATAGGACAGAGAAAGAGGACACTGGTGTGTTGATTAACTATGTTGTGTGTTTCCCACCCGTCCACATGGATTAGAAATTAGAAGAATTGTACACATCCCTACACAATAAAACAGGCTGTTTGAAGCATGTTTGAACTTTTGCATATTCAATAAAACTAAAACTTTGATCTCCTCTTCAGATCTTTTATCAGGAAAACCTGTTGAAAGCAAACTGGTTATGCAAGTCTAACACATTTTTGTGTCATACCCCTCCCTTTTACTCACCTGACGTGCATTCTTGATGAGCCTCCTGGCCTGCTCCTTGATGCTTGGCATGTCTGGGTCGGAGGGGTTGACCAGAGTCGTGACCTCTGTGGGCCCAATGAAGCTGTGCTGAGGCCAGCCCAGGTCCAGCCCTGGGGCAGGCAGGTCAGACTGCATGGGCCAGTAGGTGTCGGAAGAGCCATCGTCATCAAGAGCTCCCTCGTGGTACGTCAGCTCTGGTAAGCTGGAGCTCTGACTGGGCACCTGGATTGTGGACTTGATGAATTCGATTTCTGGCTGTGCCAGGAAACTGACCACATCTGCGGTCTGGAGGAACTCATAGTACCCCTGGTGTGACAGGAGACACGTCCAAGTTAATAACATCATAAAATCTAACATGGTATTTCATTGAATACTATCATTCAACAATAAAAGACACAATTATGAAATGGCAGTCTTACCTGTGTATCGTTTTCTATCAGGGCATCGATAGCTAGACGGTACTCCTCACGGTAGTGGGGGGGCAAGTAGTTCGGATCATGGGGGTTTTCGCCTATGGATGAACTCTGAGATCGGTGTGCCATGGTGGAAAATGGACCCAAGGGGAGGATTCAGATGAGGAGAGGAATTTAAACCTGTGCAAAAGATAGGAAAAGGGTAAGGGACATGAATTTACCCCAATATCTGCAAATTCCCATTTTAGAGAAATGTCATATAGTATTCTCAAATGTCACAGCTAAAACAATAAAATATTTCCATGTTTAAGTCTGTTGCTTGAGTAGATGCAATTTCTGTAAAATCCTCAGTCTACAATATACAACAAGATACACTCACATTTTAGCTAAATATTTCTTTCAGGCGATGAGTGGAAGAAACCCTTTGTGTGTGAGGACAAACAAGCAGTCAGGTTACCCCCCACCTCATACACAAAGTGTCCATTGTTTCCGAGTCAAAGCCTGTGTAGTCAGTTTAACGAATACTCCTTTCAAATTATCACACACACCTTCACCAGTAAACAACACCACATGATTACACTCCAGCAGTGTCATGTCTGTTTTCTGTATTCTACCGTGAGGCTGGTGGTTTGTTTCTATTAATGTCATTAATGTGAATACATAATAGAATTTGTTTGTATTAAAATTAACTTTACAACATTTGTTTGACTTGATGACACTGGACAATAATAATATAAGAATAATACAAATAATATTTTTTCATTTCCAACTTAACTAGACAAAATATCTGAGCTCTTTTAAAATACTTATTGTGCAATGCATCATGTATGGCATCTTATATTGTTTTTATTTTATAGTAAGACTGTGATTAAAAGTTAAATTGACTAAGTTCTCGTTAATGGCCTCATGCATGCAGTTTAATTTGATGTTGTTTGACGTAACATTAGAGCTTTAATTAGCAAAAAAATATCCTGTGATAGTGATTAACTGAAATTCAATCTGGCTTTGTGAGAAAACCATATAAAAGGTAAGCGCGTAAAAATAAACAACAGGACATGAGACGTACAGTGGGAGGAAGAGAAAGAAGAAAGTCAAGTGAGAGAAAAGGCACGCTTAAAGGGAGAGGTGGGGACGGCACGGAGAGCTGTAAAGACAGGTTCTCTCATATCTGCGATCAGAGAACTCGTCACGATGGTGCATCATGCTTCGCGCTGCTACTCAGGCTCTTATCCCCCAAAATATGTGTTGGTTATGGCAAAAAAATGGATTGAGGCGAGAACGATGAGTATGTTGTTAGTTATGTCATCATCACTGGAACTGAATTAGGCAGTGAAAGGCACATTGTTGCGTAAGAATTTATGAATGTGTGATTGTTTGGGTGGATTAGAAAGCAGGGGAGTTTAGGGTTCACTTAGCAGATCATCAGAGCTGAGGGACGACTTCTCCAGTGATGCACATGTCAGTTCATGTAATGAGGATTAAACTCACGAGATACAAAAGCAACAGTAAAATAAAGTCCCAGTTAGAAAATGCAAACAGGTCTAAACTCCAGAGAAAAAGAACCAAGCTGGCATTCTGTTTTTTGGATCAGAATCTGGCACGAGCCAATTACAGAAGTGTGCAATAAGCAAAATCACGTAGATAGCTCAGCCAACATGATCAGGCCTGACTGAAACCTGCATCTGATTTAAATTCTTTGTCCAAACCAGTTCCCAGTGGGTCCTGACAGGCTCGGGTCAGGTATCGAGCAGAAACTTCATGAAAATACAGGACAACAAGAGCCATGGTTAAAATTAGGGCAGCTATCATTTTATTTGCTTATTCTTTTATTGGTCAAATCATGACTAACTCAATGTCAATTGTGCTTTAAAGACAATGGCTGTGTATGGTGCATGTTTGGCCGTCATTATTTGACGTTTGTTAATTATTCTGTGAGCAGATCATCATTGCAACATATTCAGTGTTCAATGTTTCAATTACAACACCCAACACAGCAATGTTTGCGTAACAGTAGAAAAGTCTAACACTAAACATGGCGGTGGAATGGCACATGTCCCGCCCCGTTCCCGTAACAGCCAATCGCTTGTTGAACTGAGAAACATTGCAGGTCGGCCGTGTTGTTGCACTGATGCAAACGAGCAGTTGAAGTTCGTAACAGTTTCAACGATTGGGGGCAGTGGGAGGAAGAGGAGGAACCGTATTTAAGCGTCGGACATTAAAATTTAGGATTCGCTCATTCGCTCTGGATTAATCAGTAAAAGAGGTTGGTGTTGTGAAACCTTGCACATGTGTAGTGGAAGTGTAACTAGTGGAGAAAAGAGCGTTTTAAGCCTCATTTTGAAAGTGAGTTTTTACACGTAGGGGTGTTTTTGTGTTGGTGGCCTGGATAGGGGCCTGACCTTGTTATCCTGAACATGAACAAAGATGGCGGCTCAGAGGTGAAACTGACCTATAAGCATTAAGGTGTTATGCACCATTAACTGAGCCAACCAGGACAACCCCTCATTGATATTTCATGTGGACCTGACAGCTGCACAGTGGATGGGTCATCTGAGGGGTTAACAAACCAAACTGGACGTGTTCAGTGCAGGCTGGTTAAGATACTTGATAAAGAATACAAGATACAGGGTTTTTTTTTGACTGCGTATTCAAATCACGATGGAAATGCACAGGAACTTCTCAGTAACTGCGGTTGACTGGCAGCCTGACAACATAATCAAGGTGTGTGGGTGTGTGTGGGTGTGTGTGTGTGACCTGAGGTCAGTGGGAGGGTGAGTAGGTGGTTTTTAAGGCATCATCTACCTTTTAAAATGTGTGTTTATAACATGTTTATTGTAAACTTCCACATATTCTTTGGTAATCAGCAAAGGACCCAAGTCCCGACCTGCAATCACTGGGACAACCCGGTTTAGTCAGAGGTCTGGTGAGTCACCCAGCAGCTCGGCTTGGCCTCGCCTGGGGACACTGCTCCGTGGTGATTCATCTGCTGGCAAAATGGCTGACATCCTGTTTCCTTATTCATTTCTATCCATCGTAATTAGCTCTTTGCGGTGTGCTGTTCCCCTTTCCGCTGTTCCATGGTGGACGTGAAGGCACACTGGGCACAAATGCATGGAATCATTTTACTCGTGCCAAGTTTCTATGAGACACAAGCACTTGAGTTCTTTATTTTAAAGGAATCTAACCGCCTGGGGACTAATCTGTACATAAATTGACTGAGGTAACAGAATCACATACCTGCGATAACAGTCATAAACGGAGAGATGTGCACCTGCCTGTCAAAAGCAGCTAGAAAACCCTGCAAGTGCCTTCATGAAACGGTTAGTGAGGCTGCTATTGTCTTTCAGCTAGAAAATAGGAAAACTCACAGGAGGTCAGGGATCAGTGCAAATCCGCCCTGAGATGAACATGAGAACTCAAGAGCTGTAGCTCAGAGCAGGGTGAAGAAGAATAGCACAACACAAGAGGCCCGGCAGACTTTCTGAATCTCACCTGGCCGACAGGTAGGATATTCAAACAAATACTTTTGCTTTGTTTGTTGTCATGGCAACTGCAGCAAGAATCAAACTGAAGAAGTGACACATGGAGATCTTCCTCTTTCTGTCCTCCTTTCTGGCTTTAGTTATGAAACTTTCTGTTGCCCAAACAAGGACGAGCCAATAAACAGTAAACCGCATTGAAACACTAAACCGCCTCGGGTCAGGCGGGCGGCAACCAACTGCAGAAACTGGGGCCTGATAACTCCAATATTCAGAAGCAGCCATGGCTGGCTCACCAAGCATGTAAACGGCTCATTCTTATCATTCCTGCCTGAACGCTGACATGAGGAGAGGTAAGGGAGGGACCGTTTAATGTCTTGACATGTGAATCGAGAAATTTCCTGCGGAGGCACAAACTTTTCAAAAAACTGTTTTCACCACTCTCTCCGTCGCACACGTATCTGAACACACCTCACTAAACAAACAGATTGATCTGGCATTCCTCCTCAGTCGATTCGTTTTGTGTTATAATTCAGTGTGAGAAAAGAATACCTGAGAACAGGTTTGGAGGGAAGAGCCAGTTGTGTCCTGATGCTCCTGTCAGGACGTTTCAGTGCCACGTTTTGTCAGATTAACACACACAAACATGAGATACGAGCAAACACAAGAGCGAGCGAAGCTTGTGTATCATCTCACATCAGTGTGACCGCTGAATGCCGCACAAAAGACAGCTCAAGGTCAGGCGAATGCATGCTGCATGTGTGAAAACACCCGGCAAAGTGTATCCTCCCTTTTTTCTAACCAGCAGCAGTGCAAGAAAAACAGGTCCACTGACGTCCTCGTAACTTTTTCCAAATGCCTAAATGCCTGCGGTCAGCTCGAGCAGAAGACAAGAAAAATAGTTTTTACATTGCTTTCCATTAAATATTGCTTGCACCACTGCAAAGAGATACTGACCCCTTAATGAATGGGCTGCAGGCGTGGCCATATGGATAGTGTGACAGGGTCAAATCTGCACACGCACCACAAAAAAGCTGGCTTGACAAACTTTTCCCTTCAAATTATAAACAGATGTTGGTCTATTCCTGCGCAGTGACTCACTGAATGAATTTAGGCACAGCTTTTAAAAAGTTACGTTTAAATCAGTGTTTTCAAGATTGCTCTTTTTGCTTGTAAAGTTATAATCAGAGCCAATGGGAGGACAGCATCTTCTTCTTCTCCTCGTTCAACTGACAGAGCTGTATGATTAGAAGGCCAGGGACGTATATTATCTCACCATTTATCCTCAGGTTAGCCTAATGGCAATGGCGAACAAAGCATTGTGCAACTGAGCCATTGCACACGCTTGTAAAAGTGTCCCTGCCTTTTCAAGCACAATTCATCACCCACGGCTCCCGGCAGCACAACACAGACAAAGCCTCCTCGGTCTCAAACCATGTTATTTCACCAAGTGGCTGTCCCCCCCCCCCCCTCTTCTGTGTCTTCAGAGCACTGTGGAAAGTGGGCAGCACAGCTTGTCGGAGCCAGCCAACGCGGAGCCTTCTGTGTGTTTAAGTTTGTTTCAACAATACTGATCTGGGTTTTTTTCTTCACAGCGGCTACCTGGATGACTTAATCCTTCCAAACAACAAGCTGCCGATGAGTAAATTCACATGCCTTTCTCTTTTTCTCCCACTCACATTAAAGACAGTGAGTGACAGATAGAAAAAGAACAGAACAGACATAATACAGTTGGAAGAGGATCAAATTAAGTGGAATAGAAGAGAGCAAGACCCAGTTGTAGAATAGAACAGTGCTTGTTTGAATAGATCAGGGCTGTAGAGGAGCCTACATTGATATAATAAACTACAAGAGAAAAGACATTATTAGTTTAATGTTTGTTTGAATAGATCATAACAGGAGGATAGTCTACATGTATAGAATAGAATGTAACAGAGTATAATAGAACACAATAGAATAGAATATAACAGAACAGAACAGAATAGAGTAGTGTTTGAATAGGACAGGAGGGTAGTCCTCATGTATAGAATAGAATAGAATTGAACAGAACAGAATAGAATAGAACAGAATAGAATAGTGTTTGAATAGGACAGGAGGGTAGTCCTCATGTATAGAATAGAATAGAATAGAACAGAATAGAATAGTGTTTGAATAGGACAGGAGGATAGTCTACATGTATAGAATAGAATAGAANGAGGATAGTCTACATGTATAGAATAGAATAGAACAGAATAGAATAGTGTTTGAATAGGACAGGAGGATAGTCTACATGTATAGAATAGAATAGAATAGAACAGAATAGAATAGTGTTTGAATGGGACAGGAGGATAGTCTGCATGTATAGAATAGAATTTGACACAACTAGAATATAGTATAATAGAACAGTATAGTGAAGAATAGAGAGTGATAGATTGTCTTTATCCCAGGTTGCACACTTCGTCTTTCTTCCACTTCGTACCTCCTGTAACTTCGCTGCAGAACTCGTCTCCTCTTTGTGTTTGTGTCTTGAGAAGCTCGGTGTCGTCTTCTCCAGTGAAACCTGCCGGTGCGCGTCTCTGTCGCTCCGTCGCCTGCGTCCGTGCGTCACATTCCTCGGATCGTGGTCGGATCTCCCACCCTGACCCCCCCGGTGTATGTGTGTGTGTGAGTGCAGCCTTCCACCGGCACCACTGAGCTCCGGGGCCGGGGCTGAGCGCTTCGCTCGGCGGTGTGGGATCCTCCGGGAGCCACCGCCACTACAGGCACGGAGCTGAAAGAGGAAGAAGAGGGCGCGGGCTCCTGTCTGTGAAGGCAGGGCTTTCCCACCGGTGAGACTCCTCCCAAAGATCTCTGGAAACAACGAACCCATTGGAAGTTCACTCCCAGTGGCATATTTCAAATGTGCTGGCCTTTATGTCATGGCTGCTGCTGCCTGGTGTTTGATCCAGCAGGAGACATCTTTCTTGTGGATGTGACAGTTTGGGTTCGAGCCAACTATGTTCTAGTAAATCAGAGGATTTCACCCCAACCCACTGACTCTTTACACTGTTTTGTCCTGGTTGTGCAAAGAGCTTATGTGTTCACCCGGTTCACCCCTGTCAGTTTGTTGGGTTATTTTTCAGCAGGATTACGTAAAAACTACTCAACCAAAACCCACCAAGAAGATTGCCAACTTGGTATAAGGACTGTTTTTATATAGTCTTGTCTTAGCAAGCGCTCACAAGTCACCTTCACTCATTTATTCCAACACAATCATAAGCTGTTTTTGGTCGTGACCTGCAGATAAAGTCCGGAGAATAGCAACAAATCCTCTGCGTTATTCACCACAAACTCTCTTGACATCTTTGTTGGTGTCTTCTATACTTATAGATGTATGGCTCTGCTTCTTCACCTGGAGATATTTGCTTTATTTATTTATTTGTTTTCAAGTTTTGTTGTGTAGTCACATTGGATTCTTTCTCCTGACTTTATACCAGGGCGCCAGGCGGAGAAGCTCTGATCTGGAGGCTCTCAATTGGACATTTGCGTTTTCACATTAGCTTGTCATCCGGAGAAAGCGTGGAGAGTCTCCGGAGTTCAGTGCATGTCTGAAAGCAGCTTCACATTCATTCATTGTCGTCATAATCCTCAGGGGCAATTTGAGGTTTGGTATCTTGCCTAAGGTCACTTTGGAATGCAGGCTGCAGGAGTCAAATGTTGAGGCCTTGGCCAAGGAAAAACCAGTTAAAATTAGGTGTGGTTGTGGATATGGATTACAGATCAAATTGAATTGACAAATAAATCATTCATGTTATCAGACCGCTATAAGAAGTAGACAATCATGTGTAGGATTGTTCGTTCTTGGCCTGTTGCACTTGGTAACTTACGTTATCTCTTTGTTTCTTATGTTGATCGTCGTGTTTTCACTGATTAAATGTTAAATGTAGCACTGTAGTTCCTCGAGAAACAAATATGTAATCCTTGCTGTGTACTTGTGTATGGATAGTTTGACATTTAACTTGAGTCTTGAGTGCCTGGAGGATTATTAGCATCAGGCTTCAGGTTAAAGCTGATTTATGAAAGTGGAAATAACACACATCTGTCACTTAGAAATGCAAAATGAACAAACTCTCTCTGAAACAAAAAAATGTTCTTTTTCCAGGTCACGTTCCTATCTCAGACATTGTATAAGTCAGTCACCGATTGTTTTTCTCGAAGGCAAACATTCTTGCTGAATCAGCACGACTCCGACAGTTCCTTTTGTACTCTACATGAATCCTCTGCAAAGCCTGCCTCCTCGCTGCAGGCTGTACCGCTCACTTTCTCCTTCCTTTAATAATAAGGGCTGGATTTGGGAAGCCCATAGCTAATGTCCAAGAGCACACAGTGCATGTCAAGTAGATCCAGGGTTCAACTGCTGGTCTTGAATGTCCCCATGCAAGTACATGAACCATTATTTGTATGCTATACTAGATTCAGCAGACATGAAAAGAGTCATGATTATTTCACATGAATTCATTTCTGATGTTTATTGATTGTCTAATATAAAGAAAAACAACGTCTCAGTCTCAATCATTTATCAATTCCTTTACCTTTCCCCTCATTTTCTTTTAACCACTTCTCTCATTCTAAATCACCTTCTCTATGTGTGATTTATAATACGCCACAATTCCATGAACACAAGGTGTAATACAGGTTGAAGTGTACTCCAGTGTGTTTGCACTTTATTTGGATTGTACTTTGTCCTGAAACGTGTCTATCAGACAGAACACACCTTGTTTCATGGCCTCTGATATCAACACACACACACTTGGGAGTGTGACGGTGTTCAGTCCTGCTCCTACGGGTGTGCCTGCTGCTTGAATTTCTGCCTGAGCACCTATTTCATACTGAGTTGTTGGACACACACACACACACACACATTACGAGCCATGTTTTCAAGGTCTCTCTGTGCCTGTTTTTCTATTCATGCAAATGTGCAGAATTCAGTGTGACAGAGTTGTGAAGCGATAGTTTGCATGCAGGTGTGTGAGAGCCACAAACCGACTATGACAGTGCAATAAAACACAAAGTACTTTGTGTGTGTGAAATGATTTGACAGAAGTGTCAGTGCCAACAGAGAAAGTCTGTTCACATGAACAAGCTCTGATAATAAATATTAGCAGGTATACAGGCACTGAGACGCAGGGTGCGGCCACTCGACGGAATGTGCTCAAGGCATCTTACCACACCCAACCTCAAACTCCTTTCCTCTCCCTTTCTCCTTCTCCCTCTCTCTTCCGTTCTCCCTCCCCTCTCTCTCTCTCTCTCTCTCTCTCTCTCGTTCTCCCTCTCTTTTTATCTTTCTCTGTGCTCCTGACTCAGCCTCTCTCTCCCCATCCTCCCTCCCTCCTCCCACCTGGCAGTCATTGAACAGGTTTGCAGGTCCAGGCAGAGTCCGGGGCAGCAGAGAAATCCTGGCCTGCATCTCTGCATGCCTCCAGCTGAGAACTCTGTTTTATCTGGATCCACTTGAATTTGAACTAGCTTTATGTAGATATATGCAAGCAGAGTACATACTCCAGAGGTATGTTTAATAGATAGAGTGCACAAATGCACATGGCCTACAGAGAAGCCTACTGAGTCTTTACTGGATGAATGATGATTACTTTCCTAAAACACGTTCCCTCATTAGTTGTTTTGGTAAAGGTGGTGCAGAGCATTATCTAACACTGTGGTTCAGAATCTGCCATGAGTCATCTGTTGGGTTCAGTCTGTATCATGTCATTTTTAGGCTCATCAGTCCAATTCAGTGTCCCTGCATGCACAGTATGGAAACACTGTGTGGACTGAGGTGAATGCACAAAATACTCCAGCACATCTATAACAGCTTAGAGCACATCTTTCATAATTTGGCTTTTGGGGGACATTAATTAATCAGCTTCAGAATGGCTGGTTGGTGGATTCTGTCACTGTTAAAAAGAAATAGCCTGTGTTTCTTCATTTCTAGTCTTTATGCTAAGCTAAGCTAGGTGAATGCTGGCCACACCTTCATATTGATAGAACAGCAAAACATGTGTGCATTTTGTCAAACTGTTTCTGTAATGGTAATAGTTAATAGTTAAAAATATAAACTGGTAGAAACCAGTATGATGCAATTACACATATGAAGATATAAATTACATGGACTTAAAAGTCTTTAAAAGTTGAATATTTTCTGCACAACTAAAGATTCTAAAATTTAGATTTTTCACAGGCTATGAATTTTTACATGTCTTGTTTACAGTCCCACTGCATTGTCTATTATTCCATCCATCCATTCATGTATACGTACATACATACATTATCTATACTGCTTTTCTTTAGACAGTCGTAGGGGAGCTGCAGCCATCTTCTATTAGTTCTCCAGTTTAATATCTAACATCAGCTGAGGAAAGTCACACATACGCTTGAAAGCAAGTGATGGAACATGTGGTGAAATAGTTATGTCAACATTGAGAATGAAGTCTGTATGGTGTTTGCACAGTCTCAGCTGTAGTCCAATGATATAGTATACACCCAATCACCATATAGACTGTGAGATAGAAAGAAAGTGAAAGAAATGCATGAGCGATATCATATTATGAGATAAACCAGACAGTATAAAAATGGAGAGTGGCTCAGTGTTTTCCGGTTTTAGGACAATTTGTTTTGTTATTTCAGACAATGTTGAGGGTGCTGTTCATTTTCATTCAACACTTTGTGGAAACTTTCATCCACTTGAACTTTCTATGTGCATGGCGACAACACAACATGTTGCTTTTGTTCCTACATAGATTTAATCAGCGTCTTGATGGATCAATAGAAATTTGCTCCATAGAAAGATGATACAAAGAGGCTACTCTGTGAGTGTGCCCTTGTCCGGTCTCTCTTTCTTCTCTGTGTTTGGGGCCTGCATCTCTGCGGCCCTGTGAGTTTTCCCAGCATGCTTTTCTCACGCTGTAATGTCACACCCGAGTATAAGGTGACTCTCTGGAGCCTGGGGCTTTGAGGTCATTTTTACACCACCCTGCCTGCAATAGAGGTGCACACGAATGGCCAGTTTGATGCTATACAGTGGCTATATGTAAGGGTTACTCTGTGTCTGAGTTAAGTGTGTGTGCACACAGATTCACATGCCAATGAGACACTACACCCTCATTACCACCCACCATATAATGATATGTCATTTCACAGTTTCTCCAGTCTGCGTCAGGTCTAGTGACTGAGACCCTACGAAAGGATTTTCCTGACAAGCAAGAGAGTAAAATGTCATCCTTAATGACTGAAACTAAAAAATCCTTAATATAGTTAGATGAGAATTTGTGTATATGTGTGTGTGTGTGTGTGTGTGTGTGTGTTTACCAGGAGACTCCAACATGTGTTACACACAGTTTTATTTCTATTGGGTGGAGAATCATTGCATGAACAGCTCAGGTACAGAAGGAAAGTACCCACAGTGAGCGGGTTTTTTCATTTGCAGCGTCACTGCATACCTGTGACAGGTGTTGCCATTTTGCAGCTATTATTACCACTCATGAAATGACAGTAATGATTATTTAGAAACACTATGCATTACTCTGCAGACAGGATTCACGTCTGAGTATACAAGGGTTCTATCCATCAAACCAGCTCGACTCAATCCTGCCATTACTGGCATGAGTTGTTGTTACGAGTGTTACTAGCCCTAATTACTAATGACAGAAGCTTTGAATAGTAAATCATTCAGGAGCACATGAAGAATCCGCAGACTGAAACAAAACTTTCCAGTTTTTTTAAAAACATTTCTTCACAGGAAATCCTCCATTGAACATAACAGAATGCTACACACCCACAAAGTTCCTTGTGAAGGCTTGGTCTTTACCTTTGGACTTTCTTTCAACGGGAGGTGCACAAGGACCTCAGCGAGCACTCCAGTGTCTTACAGGACGTTGATGTTGATAATGTGCTTGAGGTTGAAAACATCCATGTAACCAAGGTTTAGGTGTGAAAAGCACTTTAGAGGTTCAAAAATAGAGGACAGCAGCACACCAGAAACCATCACAGTGGAGACGTGACACAGATCAGTGTTTGCAGCAACAACTTTTGGTTTCCTTGAATGTGAAATGCAGGCTGTAGATGAGAGAGGTGGACAGGACTGAGAGTGGCATAAACATGAAGCAGGACGCTGATGGATATCTGTAACCAAACAAAACAGGTGGGCAGATGTTGTCTACAGCCATGTCAAGAGGGCAGTGTTGAATTAGTGCATACAAATATTCATTCTTTCAAAATGAACAGCATTTAATTGCCTGTACACCTTGGGCAAAATTAAATCAGTGTAATACAACATCCCTGCAATAAATCTTCACAGAATTCAGTTTTGTTGTTCTAGATCAGTGTTGATTTAACTGAAAAGGTTGTTTTTTAAAATCAATTTAACCTCCCATTTGAATCGGTGTAGGCCGATATATTTAGTTCACTGTGAAGTTCCTGCTGCACTTAAATGTATATGGTCAATACAAGATGCCTTGTGAATCTTTAACTTTGTTTCATTACTTGTTCTCTTTCCTATCAGCTGGGTAACCACCCCTGGCTTATCACCAGGAAGCTATTATTACTAAACATTCATAGTCTCTTTCTGACATAACAAAGTTGGTCATCTGGGCTGTATGGATAAATTGAAGACCACTCATTGTGCAGTAGAGGTCTTGCATCACTTCAACAACTGGGAAGGGAAATCTTATTATTGGTTAAAACCCCTGCCACAGTTGTGCCACTGTGAAATTAACTTGCAAAACGAATGTGTTTGGACTGATCAGCTCATCAGATTTTGCAGAGCTCCAAAATCAAAAGTATTTTTTACCTCCACCAAGGAGGTTGTGTTTTCACCCCTGTCCATTTGTTTGTTTGTCAGCAGGATAAAGTGAAGAATACCAAATGGATTTTCACTAAACTTGTTAAAAAGGATGGTACATGAGACAAGATAGAGCCTGTTTGAAAAAGCAGTAGAACCTGCAATTTTATATCACTTTCCAAATAAAATCCAGCAGATTCAAATGTGGTTTCATTGGAGGACTGTTAGGCCTTGGCAGAGGTATGCACTCTGCAGAGTCACTCTGAGTCATTCTAGTAACTTATTTTAATGAAAACCTTAAAAGATTCCTCAAAATAAATGTTTTCCCTGTGCGCCAGAATATTCCACCCTTGTGTTCACCCGCACTGCTGTCATGTTCCCCTCTGCGTTTTGGTCTGTGTGAAAACCAGCAGCTGTGTCATACTGCTCCCTAGTGAACAGAACTGGATTGTGTGGAATGAGTTTCCCAGCTGAAACTTACACCACTTGCAACACATTACACTGACTGCTGTTGCTGTAAATGAAAACAAAACAGAAACTTGAATGTGAATTTGCTGGAAGGAAACATTTTGATTGAAGTATTTGAAGTATGAGGAAAAAACTGTGGTGAAGAAAATGAAAAAAGTTACCAGGAGAAAATATGAGATAGGGAAATGGTTTTAATGTCTGGGGGAAATATAAATATGAACAAACAGCAGCTGAAAATTAAAATGAGCTTTAAAAGAGTTACTTGGCAGGCTTTTAAAAATATTGACTTTTGTCATTTAAGGTGTTGGATACATTACCTACTTTACAAAATCCCTGCAGCCTAACACAAGTAATTAGGACGGACAGAAATTATGTTTTACACGTTTTTATATATTTGTCAATGTGCAAAAAAATACAGAATACATGAAAAATCCAACACGAATAGACAGTACAGTCCAAACTTACAATGCAAGATCGACCCATTTAAACATGAATTAAAAGAAAATTATTTAAAGTAAAACACTTTGCTCACTTGTTTTCATTTTAGGTAAAGGTTAATGTCTGAGTGCAGAAAACAAATTCAATCATAAAATCAAACGTCATCATTGTTTTTAGGTGATCCTCATGGAGCTTTGCGTCACATGATGCACGATGGGCTTGGCGAGATGGAAAACGAAACTGTGATGGTAAGTTTCGTTTCCGAGATATCAGCTGATGATGAGACACAATAAATAGAGACTGCTGCGCAGACGACATTACAGACACTGCTGCAGAGGTCGAGGCATCGTTTCGTATCAGCTTTGGTTTTCAGAGACTAGAAACTTCAGATATCTCACCATCGAGGAACCATGAAGCGACCTACAGGTAACGCTGAGTACTTTGTGCATAGTTTGCTAATATTCTTCTTAGTTTGGTGTTACGTTTGTTGTGTTCATTTTGGTGCCATTGCTGCAACGCCTCCAGTGTTTGGTATTTACACCGTTTCTATATTATAATAGTAGTTCATTATTATTTGTATTAGTTAATATTGATTTTAAAAGAAGGGTGTTTAATATTAAAAGGCCTATATAATGTAGCTTCTGCTTCACTTTTGCTCAGCTTCCATGCATATAAACAATCTAGAACTTCGGCCCTGACTTGTTCTTTAACCTTTTTTCAGATTGGGTTCCAGCCTTATGGCGGGAAACTTTTGAGGAATTGCTGTGTGAAGACAATGAGCTGGACTATGGAGATGAGTGGACTTTCAACTTCAACTACAGTCAGAACAACACAGTCACCAACGAGGAGAGGAAGAGAGGCTGGAAGATCTGCTGCCAAAATGCCCATGGAGAGTATGTATCCAGCTCCATGTATATAACTTTACAGTATATCATAGACTAAAGATGGACAACATGACAGTGCCCCAAAAGTGAAGCTGAATAGTCTTGACCGCCCCCTGGTGGCCGACTGCAGTAAACTTGATTGGGCTTGGACCAAACTATACTTTTTTCTCAAACATGGTTTCTGTCAGGTAGTTCCTATCACACTGATGTATGTTCAAGTGATAATTTTCTTTCAAGTTTTTTTTCAATTGTTTATTTGATGCAATACAAATGCAGTGAGAGGTCATGAACAGCTGAGACTGACTTGTGCCTGTCTTCCTATATCCCTCAGTTTCAAGTGTGCATCCTGCTCCAAGACCTGGCACTCGGCACGGGTAGTGGTGTTGTTTCGTTACAGACTCCAGAAAGGTCGGGGGACAGTGATCATGCGACCCTTCCGTCAGACCTGTCGCAGCTGCAAAAACGAGAATTATGAGTTCTGTGGTTTTACCCAGGAAGCTGTTGAAAGTACTTTGCTCAGGCTGTTTTCCAAAATTCGGAAGAATTGCTACGGGGAAGAGGACTCGGACGCTGACAATGACGATGGTGACTTATCGGAAAAAAAAACCAAACCCCATGAGAGCCACCTGTGTGAGGCCTGCAAGTCAGGCATTTGCACTCAGGATGATGACTCGTAGGGTGTGTGTGTGTGTGTGAGAGAGAGAGAGAGAGAGAGAGAGAGAGAGTGGCTTAGTTTTAGGATGACAGGTGCAGAGACTCACAGTTTGACAGTTTGTGCAGGTGGTATGAGATGCACATGTTCTTTATCAATCAGTCAGAAGTTTTTTTTCACCATTTATTTCCCTGTTTGCTAATAAGCCGGAATACACAAAAACAACAAAATTGATTTTGTAATGGACAGGACCCCATGAAGAACTACCTTAAATTTTGGAGCAGATCCAGGATTTTTAATTTTTCTTGAACATGACAGATGGGGCTTTGGTCTTGGTGGAGTTTCTGTAATTACAATACGACATCATGAGGAAAATGTAGCCACATATATATTGTAAGTGGCGGTTAAAGAGAGTTGTTAATAAAGTATTTTCTTACTTGGTTTGATATTTTTTGTCGTTTTGTGTATGAGGATGCGGTAAAAAGTACTTTTACTCTATCATACATTTCCTCATAACTTATTAGTTCTATTTAATACGTTATGTCAGTTATTATTTATTCATTAGTGATTATGCTCGTTTCAAGTCGTACAGTGAAAGCTTTCAAATGCAGAACAAAGGATAGTTTCATTAAAAAGTTATAGAATAATCTACATAAATAAAATGCTCTTTACTTGTGCCTCACAATGCCGACCACATTAAAATAATGATTTTGTCTAAGATTTATGTTACTTGATTTATATTTATCGAGGATACAACAGGTGTCTAGTCATGATAAGTTATCAGCAGCCGATTTGTTCTGCTAGGTTAACAATTAAATCAGAAAAAAATTCAAAGGGATGAAATTGTACAGTTATTAGATTTAAGCCAAGTTAACATAAAAATTAAAAAAAATCTCTCATCTCAAGCATATATTTCTGCTGTAAATCCAAAAAAATACGCAAAGTTTTAATTTAGCTTAATAAAGTTGCTTTAAATCGTCATATTAAAAAAACACAAAAATAAACTCAAATACTACTAAAAGCAAATTAGCAGATAATCAAAAAAAATGCTAACAAAACAGGTCTAATCGTGGAGTAAGGTAGATTTACTACTGGATCAGTACAGCTTGTTTCAGTGTTGACATACTTTAAAGAATTTCTCGGACATTTTCTAATTCAGATTTAAATTCTGCGAAGAGTGGTTTCATATTGTCAATCTGCATTTCTGGATTCAACGAATACATTTGGACTTCCGTGTTACCAGAACCAGGAACCAATCAGGTGAGAGCCCTCGGTGTGACAGTTGGTGTCCGCGCATGCGCAGAGCTCTTTCCTCTCTGGCAGCAACAACAACAGTCGGCGCAGATCGGCGGCTCCTCTTCTCCCAGCGGCAGCATCACCGTCGTGCTCGCCGGCTCCGGCGGTGGCAGAGAGGATGGTCCAGCGGGAAAGCCACCGAGGCTGCGAATGACAGCGATAAGGACGATGGCCCTCGATGTTCGCCGGTTCCCGAGTGTGCGACCAGTGACCCAGTGAAACGACCGTGTGAGTAAAACGGTGATTTCGGTGTTGTCCCCCCGCTGGAGGTAGTTGAGGCTAGCGCGACGCGCTAACCTGACACAGACCGTGTTGCTAGCTTCGGTACCCGCAGGAAGGTGGGCTTCTTCGGGGTGGGAACGTTCTCCCACGGGCGGGGAGAAGAAGCGGCGACACTCGAGGTGAAGTGGGGTTTTATCGGCAGCGGTTCGCCCAGCAGTGGCTGTCCAGCTGGTTTGCTCATTCACGGGCGCTGACAGTGTGTTGAACAAAGGAGCTTTAACCCGAGGGGCCGCATGGACACAAACACACACAGAGAAGTCGGCTGCTGTTTGTTTTGTGCTCCATTTCACGCTGACACACTTCTTCGGGGATCACCACGCGAGGTCTGACCTGGATGTTGAGCTCAAACACGGTGACCCAGCTAATTAAATGCCGGGGTAAGTTGCTCTGTGGTTCACTAATGTGCCTCTCGCCCGACTCTGACTCTCCCACACAAGTTTTATGTCTCTTATGACAACCTGACTTGGTCCCTCCAGCAACAGCAGCACGATCCACCCATGCTGCTGGTTAAGCTGTTAATGTGGATCAGCTGACCGCAAGTTCTGATGGAAAACAATAACACCACAGTGACTGGCTTTTGTCTTAAGAGACTCTTTTTTTCTTTAAACAGCTACATGCTGCTTTACAGGGTCAAGCTGAAGACAGACAATAGGAAACGATTCTTAAGATCACACAGAGCACAAACACCAAATGTTTTACTACTCCGTTAAAAACCAAATAGAATAAAACCATATAAACTTATTTAGATAGACTCTATGTAAATAAATAAAACTGGCACTCAGTGTAGCAGACATCCACCAATTTCCCTAAGTCCCCTTGTGAAACCACATTGACATTCAACAGATCCAGATTTGTATTTGGATCTGCATAGTTATCCATCTAGCTGTTGCTTATAACAAACCAACATCAGGAGATAAAACGTAACCTCCTTGTTGGAGGCAATGATTAAAGTAGTCAGTAATATCAGAACTAGATTAAAAGTACATTTAAAAAAAAATGTGACTGAGAAAAGCGCTCCCTAAAAGAGAGAGATTAAAAAGATGGTATGGAGTTTGTTTGACAGATCTCCTCAGGGAGATTGTTTCAGACAGCGGGGTCCCTGACAGAAAAGGCGGTGTCACCTTTGGTCCTCAGACAGGACTGTGGAATGGCATTTAGGGTCTTGGCTCAGGTTATGACCGGGCCCATATGGTATCAAAGATCTGAAATGAACAGACCAATGTGCTGAAAGCACCAAAGTAGTGACTGTTGATTTTACTCTCGAGGCCTTGGAGCTGAAATGTTGTGTTCTTGCTTGGATTTCTTTCAGTAAAATCTCCAATCAATCATTGCTGCATCTGTAAGCTATCTCAGAGCTGAGATGCTTATTATCTAAGTATGACAGGCTCTCTTCAAATTGTTTTCCTGACAAGTTGTTAATCCATCATACATTTTTGGTTGAGCCCCAGTCACACTTGGACCTGGACCATAAATGTCCCTATTTTTTGTAAAAGAATGTGTTGCGTGATCTTGTCATAATGTAAGTGGCTGTCTGCATTAGAAATAGATGTCATGACTTTAGACTTTTTACGTAGGAATCCTCAGACAAGATTTCCAGGCAGGATTCAAGTGTTCAGCGCAAGAGTTAAGTGACTGTGGTTGAAAAATTTAAAAAAAGAATCTCCCTTCTTGGGACTTTTCCTTGAGCTCCTTGGAAAATGTCATAAAAGTGAAGAGACTTCATGAGTACTTAGACTAGATAGCTGCAATGCTAAGAAAATCAGACTATACTCACACCAGGCCTCTTTTTAAACCAACTTTATTTATGATATAAGATAAGTACAGTGACAAACAGTCATTTTATATTGGATACATTTAATTATCATTTACTTAGTCCGTCAAGAAAATAGATGTTGAAAATAAAAACAAACACGATTTAAACCATGGAATGATGTTAAATGTATAAGGAACATAAAATTTGAGCCATTAAAATAATAATTCAATTAATTGAGGAATTGTGCAGGAGGCCAGAATAATGAGAATATGGCACTCATGACTTTTCCATTTCCAAGGAAAGTAAGTAATATAATTTTAAAAGGAAGTAATATAGGAAGTAGCGATGCTTTTTCTTCGCGTTTAGAGAAATAATTTTCAACGTTAGCCAACATGACACTCGTCCTGCTGATCGTGGTCGTGCTTCAGTCTCTGCTTCATCTTCATTAATTTTTATTTAAGTGTTTGAGTAGCATTACTGCTACCTAGTGGACTGGAGTTGCGACACACTTATTCATCGGCTCTTTTTGGTCTCATTATGTTCCATTCGGGGGAGTAAAGTGCGATGCCTCTTGGTAAAATGTCTGGTTCAGTCTGGTGTTTGGCTTGATACCAAACCAGTATGGACATTTTTACACTGGCACAACACCAGTCCAGACTTCCTGTCCTTATTTAGCATGAGAGACAGAGAGAGAGAGAGAGACTGGCAGAGATGCACAGAGGAGTGAAGTGAACTGGAAGTAAACCAGTGTGACCAAAACAGAGAGACAAACAGACAGACTGACCTATTAACTATCGTAAACTCCCGTCACCACCACCCCTCCAGATATACACAAACACATGCACACACAAGATCCAGTCCACTGCATCCATCACAGGAGCAGAACTCACAAAATATTGGCTATTATTTGTCAGTGGTGGCAGCTACTGTGCGACCCGTATGTCTTCCTCTGTCAGTGTGTGTTTTCCCTGTCTGTCACTGCATAGAAATGGGAGGCAGACGAGGGGAGGCAGCCAGCCACGTTATTCAAATGTTCTAGAGCCCGGCCAGCCAGAGGCCAACTGTAGCTGGGGCTAAAAGAGGCTCTTTGTGAGGGCCAGACAGATGGCCATAGAATGAAGACTGTAATGATACTCTCAAAGGACCAATACACACACGCAGGCACATCCACAGACTCAACTCATTACAGGGTGTAATGGTGTGTGTGTTTAAAGACGGGACATATGTGTATGTATGTGTTTGTGCCTGTGAGAGAGAAAGAAAGACGGATAGGTGGAAAAGGAAGGAAACGAAGCAGAACACATTGATAAAGATAACGATTATGGACAATACATGACAGGAGAGAGTGTGAGGGTGTTTGTTTAACATCTGTTTCTTTTTACCGCACTGTTTTTACTTGTCTCATGTCTTATTACCTCAGCCAAGGAGGTTATGTTTTCATCCTTTTCTTTTGGTTGTTGGTTTTCCTCTGAGCAAGATTACGCTTAAACTGCTGTTTGGATTACCACTAAACCTGGTGGTTGAGGTATGGGTCAAGGAAGAACTCATTAAATCTTGGTGCAGATCTTTATTTAGTGGTCTGATCCAGAAATGTTTTCACTTTCTTTAACGTTGCAAGATAGGGTGGGTTTTTGTGTTGTTGACATTTTCAGTGATTTCTGAGGAATAATTTATGGACCTTGACTAATTCAGCAGACTGATATCTATAAGTGTGTGCGATGTGGTGCAGCTTCATTAAATGTATGGGGACTATTAGACCTTGGTGGAGGTATGCGCTCGGAGTGTTTTGTGGTTTAAATAATGCTTATGTCATTTTAGTTAAATTCACAGGGAGATGATGAAAAGATGGTGATAACTAACAGGAGGTTTATAATCTGTTGCTAGGCAGGTAAACTCAGCTGCAGCAGCCAGAGCTGTGATTCTTGTGATTCTTTGGTTTAGCGCTTGAGAGGCAAAACAAAACTCATTTTGGCCGTGTGTTATTGCTGCACGGCTTCACACATTCACACCCTCGATCTTCAGTGATACAGTACGTCTAAACTCTTAACTCAAAACCTTGCTGAACTCGCTGTGGCCAGCTGAGGTAATATTGACCATGCTTTTCATCAACTGACTTCCAAATCGATGGCTTGGATATCATTAACTTTCCTCTCTGGCCTGCCTGCTGTATAATTATCTCTTTGTCTTTCTAGCTTCTTTCTTCTGTCCCTCTGTTTCCCCCCCCTCTATTTCTGGTAAGATAACATCCTTGCTGCAGCACATCAACTGATCGATGGATGGACTGATTGATTGAGCCTCTCTCCATGTCTCTCTCCTTCCACCTCCCTCCCTGCTTCTCCAGCTCCCATCTTTTGTGTTATTTAAATTTTTCATCCTTTTTCATCCTTTTTCATACCTTCATTTTTTCCCCTCATCATTTTAATTCTTCCTCTTCTTGTTTATTGTCTCTCCACCTTTCTTTTCCTCTAATCAATCTTACCCTCTCTCACTTGCAGGGCAGGATAACGCTGAACCATGTTGCTCTAAGTTGTCACCTGTGGTGAACGGGGGAGGAGGAAGAGGAGGAGGAGGGAGGAGGAGGAGGAGGGAGGCGTAGGCAGGCAGACGGGCATCTGCCAAAGCTCCCTTTAGGAGGCCTTTTGCAAGCTTGAAGCCATGGGCAACACAGCCACCAAGTTCCGTAAGGCCCTGGTGAGTGGCGACGAGGCCCTGGCCTGGCAGCTGTATGAGGGAAACCCTCAGTTCAGGGATGGCCTGGACCCAAACGCATCGTATGGAGAGCAGTACCAGCACAACACGGCCCTGCACTATGTCTGCCGCCACGCCATGACACGTCTGCTCAGGTAAAACTCATGGCTTTTTCTTTTTCCTGGGTTTGGATTTGTTTGAGAATTCAATTGAATCATTCTTGGGGCCCTGGTTTACAATGTTGTTATGCAGTCGTCTAATAGAGTTACAAAGGCAGTGAGTCATATTAAATGGAATAATACTTCAGAAAGTCAGCTTTAAGAGTCACCATTGTTGTAATTGGGTTTTTAGGGCAAATAAGGCAACTTGCTAGACAGACGCACATGAAGGCCAGTTATATTGTTCATGTAAATTATGTCAAAAGGCACAAATTAGTCAAAGGGTACAATGGCAATTGCACCATCACTTGTACTCTTTTACATCAACAGGTATGCTATACACAGGTTTTTTAAAAATGAGTAAATCTCAAAAGGCAATTGACTCCCACTCTTTGTCAGTAGAGAACTTAGCCTCTCAGTTTCCCCCACCCCAGTGAGTCATGTTAAACACCATGAACGCATGTCGGAAACCTTGCTCTCTTGCCAGTGCTGCATCTTGTACGAAATGTTCATGGCTATTTACCCGCCAACAACCAGAAGTCCGATGCATGTGTCACTCAGGAAAAGGTGCACCGTTGTTGTCCAGAAATAAAAACTGATGAAGAAATTGGCACATTCACCTGGATGTTTCCATCACTGCTGATCGAAGTCAGAGACGATTAAAAACCGGTTCCCACTTGCGAGTCATTTGACCCGGGAGTGAATGCTAATTGTATCCATTCCCAGTGTCGACAAAGCCAGATGTTGATGGGTTTTTTCGACCAGTGGAAAAGGAGCTCAACACTCATTTATAGACTGTGTTGGCCAGTTTTACACACGATGTTCAACAATGTGCTGGGGTCTTCTGCAGCTCTGGGGGGAGTTTTCGAATGATGCCCTCAGGGCTACCTTGAACTGGGCTTTAGCCTTCAAACATGGGCACGTGGAGTAAGATGTGGGAACCCTTTAAAACAGAGCAAGTCAGACTAAAGAGTAAAGGCACACACACATACACCAACAACATACTCTTCCTTGGAAAATGTCATGAGAGGAGCTATATAGGATTGTATATAGGAGTGTAACAACCTAAAATAAAGGGGTCAATCTAAAAAACATATGGAGGGCAAGACATCAGTGTGTCGTTTTACCCCCTGCAGGGATAATTAAGCTGCTGGCCATGACCAAGACAGCTGATTCAGTGACTCAATAGCCGTCCCCACCTCCTCTTCCTCCTCTGTTGCCCTTTCTTTCCATGATCAGGAGAGGAGGGGGGTGTCAGAGGAAGCTGTTTGAAAAGGCCAGTCAATTATATGTGCAACTGCATGTGCGTATGTGTTCTGAGGAAGGAGAGAGGGCAACTGTGACTCCACAACTGCTTAATGTGACCAAGTCCGTGAATATAATGCAGTGAATCAATTGGTGTGCTATTTGTGTCCCTTCCCACTAACCTATAATGGGTCAGAGACGTGCTGAATGCAGCTCTCGGCCACTGATAAGCATCAAGAGGAAATGCTTCTTTGTTCCAACTGCTCAATTGGACAGAGGCAGGCGGAGAGACGACGGAGAAATCTCAGACAAAATAAAGACTCACAAAGATCGAGCGTGGGCTGCTGGATGCAGAGTCTTGTTTCCAGATTATTTTTAAAATGTATCTGCTTCATGTTTATTTCTCTCTCTTCCAGTCGTCTCAGTGGGCTGGATGGTTTGTAATCCCATGAGATGTGCAAATTGGGAAATAACAAGTAGATCCATTACTGGGGTCTAGTTCAAGTAGTGTGGTGCTTCCTCCACAACAAGTGATTGCAAATGTTGATACACTAAAACATTTAAATAGCTACGTTAATAAATTTATTCTTCAGCGCAAAGCTTCTTCCCTTTTTTATTTTCCCCTTAAATGTTTTGTGTTTCTTCTCTGTGGTTTCCAACCATTGTCAAATCATTGCACCATGTGAATTGTTTGAGTGCTCGACGGTTGCAGCGAAACGTGACAACCCCTCGCCTGCTGTTTCTCGTAGACAGACATTAGGGCCATCCATCCTGAACAGGCTTGTGCGCATGTGTTTGTGGGGTCGCAGGGGTTGTTGAGTTGTAGTTAAATGATTATTGCCATGCGGTTGAATTAGCAGTGGCTTGTAGTGGACAGGATAAGAAGATACACATCAGACACACTTTCAGTAGTGGTAATTGCTAGTTCCAACTGTGATTTACAACATGTATTAATAGATTCAACGAGTGGGAATCCAATGTCATCCTATTATTTTCCTTTTTTGTAGGAATTTGCATTTGTTCATGTTATAGAAAAAGAAGAATCAGTTATTTCCTTGCATGTTGTTTACATACAAACCTGCCGTGACGTAGAGTAAGACAAAAGACAAAGGAAAAGCACACTGAAGAGGAAGTGGGAAAAGTACATAAAGGATTGAATGTAAATAAAGGAAAAACGAAAACTTGAAGCGGAGAAACAGAACTGGTGGGGCCAAATTAAAAAAAGTGGAAAAGCTAATTAGCAAATGGAGGTTTTGAAAGACAAAGAGCAGAGAGGAAACTGCAACCACAGCTGGGCTCCCAGTGCAACTGGCACATCCATCACCATCAGAGTGTGTTTGTGTGTATGTGTGTGTTCGCGTCCGCCAGCCAGCATGTCCATTATCTCAGAGATGTTAAACAGAAATAGTCAATATTTTGCCATCTTTCTCTCCCCCCCTCCCCCCCTCCCTGGCTTTCTCACTCCCCAGTCATCTCACAGTCCACCTCACTTTCATCATCCATCTTCTTCTTCCTCCTCCACATCTTTGTGTTGCTGCTTCTTAGAACTGTGCTGAACTCTGGATAATCTTCTGAAATTATGCGGAGGGGCTGTATGTGAGATTTCAAATCTGCAAATATGTTCTTGTCAGCCCCTTTGTAAGAACTCTGAGAGTAGGTTGCCAATATACGATGGACACAAAACAGAACAAAACAAAAGAAAAATACTCCCATCTCAGGATGAAAAAGAGGTGCCATACACATAGAAGATATCGACAAACATTTGTCCCATTGTAAATACGATGAAAGGTTGTTTAGAGATGAGGGCTGGTTTCAATGTGCTGGAAAAAAACACATGATCTGCAATGGAATCTATATGGAATGTCCTGTGTTCTCTACCCAGACACAACTCCTCACCAGAACATTCCAGATATTTTCTTATTTGTCTAACCTGGACAATATCCTGCTGCTTTCTTTATGTGCTTTCTTTATGACTCAATTGTTTGGACAATTTCCAGAGTTCATGTCTCAAAACAGCTTACGTCTCTTTACTTTTTCCTCCACTTCCCTTTTATTCAACCCCTTCTTTCTTGCCTGTATTTTGAAGGTCGTTCCTGTTCAGCAAAGAGGGGAACCCCAACAAGCGTAACGTGCACAATGAGACGTGCCTCCATGTGTTGTGCCAAGGGCCGCAAATCCTACTGCTGCCAGAGGGAGCACTGTCACCAAGACTTGCCCGGCCACAGAGGGACGAGCAGCGCCGTGCAGACTGCTTGCAGGTACAGACTCTAGCGTACACGCATACATTTTGCTTTGGAAGAAGTTGTATGGTATAACGTCATTGCTTTCATTCAGGTTGAGCTCCAAGTAATGTTGTGTGTGTGTATTTGTGGGTTCCCCTGCTGTCAGATGATCCTCAGCTGGACCGGAGCCAGGCTGGAGGGAGGCCAGTACGAGAAAGCCAATGTCAATGCCACCGACAACCACCACAGCACCTGTCTGCACTACGCTGCTGCTGCAGGCATGAAGAGCTGTGTGGAGGTGAGACAAAGTGCTCTGAAATTCGAACCCACATTAGGACGAGGTGTTGTTTTTTTGCGCAGCAGATCTGTCTGTGTTTTCTTTAGGATTGGATTTGGCAAAAGATTTTACTGCCAGTGAAAGAAGTAGGCTGAGCTTTATGTCTGTCTTTGTATTGTGAGCATCTGTTTTGTGTTACATTACTGTCAGATCCTAGTAGTGCTTCCTCGCTTCTTTTAGATTTTACAGCTTTTGAATTGGGAAGAAAATCTGCTTCTTGAATTAAAAAACAATTAAGCCCGGTCCGGGGGAAAACAACCCACATATTTACCTTTTTTAACATAAAAAGAGTGAACATGTTCTCTTCTTTCTTTTAAAGTGTGTTTACTCTTATTTCTTCCTGTACACCTTACATTTTGGAAGGTTGTTATATTTATTGTATTGTTGCATTTGCTCTCTTTCACTTTCTGTTTTTCCTGGCCCCATTTTCCTTTTCTTCCGTCTTGTTGTCTCCCCATCTCCTATGTTTTTCTGTTTTCTTCATCACATCTTTTTTTACTCTTTCTCTCTTCCCCTCGCTTTCATTTTTCTCTCATGTCTTATGTTTTCTCTCTCCTCTCCATCCTCGTCCCTTCCTCTAGCTGCTAATCCAGAGTGAGGCAGACCTTTTTGTGGAGGACGAGGACAAGCTGACGCCGTGTGACCACGCTGAGCGGCATCACCACACTGAGCTGGCCCTCAGCCTGGAGTCGCAGATGGTTTTTTCCTCCTCTTCAGCTCAGCAGTCCAACACAGACGCACATGGTGAATCCAACCTGCTGCAATACAAGGAGGTGAGATAACAGTTACGAGATCTTGAGGGGGCGGGGGGTTCCTGCTGGCACAACTTTTATAATGAATGTGTTAATTTGTTGTTTTTTAATCACAAATCTTAGTGAGTCAGTAACTTGATTTTGTTTTTACAGTGGTAGCAGCTTGCCTCTCTTAGTCTCAAGCATGCATCACATGAGAAGAATTTGAAAAAGAACACAAGTAGCTGCTGTTTGAATCCGAAACCAATTCGTAAATGAAAAACATTTTGTTCTCACCAACTTCTTTTTTCATGTCAAAACTGGTTCTTACAAATGTCGTAATATGAGAACGCACACACCTCGTGTCATGTTTCTCATGGTCGTAGTTAAGCAGGGAGCACCAGCACAGTTGTGGTGCAGGGGCTGCTGCCAACTGATAGCAGTTTGATGTTTTCATCCTGCAGCCAAAACTATGCTTATACTTAAACTCTTTCATTTTTCTCACTGTTTCACTTTCATTATCTAAGAAACCCTTCTCATACTTCTACTTTTCTTGTCTTTGTTTAGTATCTTTTTCTACTCAACTTATTGTATTACTTCTCATAATTACCTTCCTTCTGACATAGTTTTCTCCTCTCTCTTGATCCTGTCCTTTCAGCCTTACGAGGGACTAAAGCTTCAGGACCTGCGCCGGCTGAAGGACATGCTAATCGTGGAGACGGCAGACATGCTGCAAGCCCCCCTTTTCACCGCTGAGGCGCTGCTCCGAGCGCATGGTGTGTTTGTCTTTTAGAAAAAGTTGATGTTTGTAAACCACTTTCACTAAACCACACACTACTGCAGTGTGATTTATTCAAAAGATGCATACAACATTTGTAACGTATTAAAATGTCCTCCCTGTCTAAACTGTAAATGTGTAATGTCCTCCCTTTGCCAGACTGGGACAGAGAAAAGCTTCTGGAGGCCTGGATGTCAGACGCTGAGGGCTGCTGTCAGCGCTCTGGTGTGGCCATGCCCACCCCACCGCCAAGTGGCTACAACGCCTGGGACACTCTGCCCTCACCCCGCACCCCTAGGACCCCGCGCTCGCCCCTCACCCTCACCTTGACCTCTCCCACCGACAGCTGCCTCACACCTGGAGAGGAAGGCCTGGCTACGGTGAGACATGTGTTACACATGAATGAATAGACTGACGAGTGTAAAGACGCCACATACCTCTTCTGAAAATCTTTCAGTCGAGTTAATGTTTTGACACAATGCCAAGCGTCTCACTTGTTTGATAACGGGAAGTTAATGTCTAATCTTACTTTATTGTTGCACATTACCACCTGTTCCATTGACGCAGGTGTTATTACACATCCAGTACTTTGTACACTTTCAGTACATTTGTCTGCCTGCTTAACCTGACTGTGGTTCAACTCTCAAACTCTTAAAATGTTCAGACATCGAGCAGTTAGGCTGCTACTACCTGAAATCTTTTGGGTGTATTTTAGATAATAGATAGGGATTAAATGTAACTCTAAAGATACAGTGCAACATTATGGATGGTAAAATATGCAACAGCATATTCTCTTGATGGAAATTACTTTAGCCTGTCTTGCACTGTCACAGTCCGTTTTTTTTTTCTCCTTCCCCTGTCAATAATGATGGAGGTGACATTGCAAAATGGAATATAAAACATTTTTATTGGTGTTATGCCATTGTATAATGTAAAACGTGTGATTTGTCTGCCTTGTCTCCCTGCAGTGTGGAATCTGTCTCTGCTGTATCTCGGTCTTTGAGGACCCAGTGGACATGTCCTGTGGACATGAGTTCTGCAGAGCCTGCTGGGAGGGGTAGGGTCTTCTGTGTTTATGTGCATGGAAATATTTCTGTTTCCTTCAGTGTGTTACTGTACATCTCCAGTTGCATAAATGTGTCTGTCTCTCTCTCAGGTTCCTCAATGTGAAGATTCAGGAGGGTGATGCACACAATATTTTCTGCCCGGCGTACGAGTGTTATCAGTTGGTGCCCGTGCATGTGATAGAAAGTGTGGTTTCCAGAGAGATGGACCAGCGGTACCTACAGTTTGACATCAAGGTACATATTTGTATGCCCAATCACATCTGCTGTTTGGGTCCTTCTATTTGTCCTCCTTCACTTCTTTTGACATTATTCTGTTCTTTCTGTTTTTCCCAGGCATTTGTGGAGAACAATCCTGCCATCCGCTGGTGTCCTGCAGCGCGTTGTGAGCGGGCAGTGAGGCTCACCCGTCCGGGCCCCGGGGACAGTGACCCTCACAGCTTCCCCCTACTTCCCTCCCCAGCTGTCGATTGTGGCAAGGGTCACCTCTTCTGCTGGTACGTTTTATGATGCTGTTAAGAGCTGTGTACAAGGGATGTCATAAGAAGTGATACCACAATTCTAAAATATGAATGGTCATCCACTTTATCATTTCATAGTAAAATGTTCAACACACCTGAAAGAAAACAAAAAAACTAATGTGAGGCAGATATTGTCTTTTTTTAAACAGCTCAACAAAATAAATACAATCCGATGTTTTTACTTCAACTTCATTCTTTTATGCGTGTCCACACTGTTGTCTTTCTAGGAAAGAGTAAGTTGTCACTCCTTGAGTCTAAGTGTCTTGTATTCTACTATATGCAGTTCTCTGTTAACAACTTCTCCTGTTTACAGGGAGTGCCTTGGCGAGGCCCATGAGCCATGTGACTGTCACATGTGGAGGAACTGGCTCCAGAAAGTCACAGAGATGAAGCCTGAGGAGTGTAAGTCTGTCCTTTTTATTGCTTGTCTGCCCAGGAATTGTTCATGTTGCCAGTGATCATTTGAGCTGTGTCTCAGTGAGCCAGCACCACAGTTAACAGCAGCTGTCAGAGCTGCCTAACAGGATGGGTCGGATTTATTTTTATAACATAGTGGCAGGTGTTCAGGTCAGTGATATTTGCCAAATGTGTGTTTGTGGGTGTGTGCCGGAGGGTGTATCTGCAAGGCAGGTGTTGGACAATTGAGCTTTAGCTGAGCTGTGTGTTTTTGTGTACTTTCCACAGTGGCAGGTGTGAGCGAGGCCTTTGAGGATGCTGCAAACTGTCTGTGGCTTTTGACCAACTCCAAACCGTGTGCCAACTGCAAGTCGCCCATTCAGAAGAATGAGGGCTGCAATCATATGCAGTGTGCCAAGGTATACGCACCAAGCTCTTTGTCAGCTGCGAACATGTGTGAACATTGTATAGATAGTTCTGCTGCCTGACAGGTAACATTTCCAATATTTTATCATGCTGTGCACTGAATGTTGGTTACGGTTACTACAATATCTTCTGTCTCTCTCTTTCTTTAGTGTAAGTATGATTTCTGTTGGATCTGTCTGGAGGAGTGGAAGAAGCACAGCTCGTCAACAGGAGGCTACTATCGCTGCACTCGCTATGAAGTCATCCAACAGCTAGAGGAGCAATCCAAGGAGATGACTGTAGAGGTACAAACACAGTCACAGAATGCACACTCAGACGATCACTTTAATCTCTCACATGCACAAATATTATCACGATAACGTACACATTTCCACCTGCAAGCCTCCATCACCTTACACATGATGAAGAACATGTTCATACCCGAACAGCATTACATACACTAATAATTTTATATGACCAACAGCATTTAAACAATTCTTCATTAAAATGTCTAAAAAAAGAACTAAACATATGTTATACTATTTATTTTGTTGACATGTTTACTCCTCTTATTCAAAATGTTTCCAACAATGTTCCAACCCAGAGAATATCCCAACTGTATTCAAGGTAACAGGATGTTTCACTTTGGTCGCCTGTTAATTGCGTCATACCCTTACATGTGGCTTTGCCAGTCTCTACTACGATCTACTATAAAGAAAAAACACACTGCTAGCCGGTTGGCTGTATTTACCTTCTACTTGTTTGCATCGTATCACCTGATGTGTGTAAATGTGTGATACATTTCCTCATCTGTGAACATGATTTAAGCCTGAGTCACGTCAGGTTTTTATCTGCAATTGATGTGAAGACAACCATGACATCATCAAATAGGTCTTTTGTTATTGTTTCGATTGAGAGACCCCTAATGGTCGAAGTTAAATATCGTACATTTGAAATTCTCACATAATCATAATCCCTAACTTGATTTTGTTACAGGCAGAAAAGAAGCACAAAAGTTTTCAGGAGCTTGACCGTTTCATGCACTATTACACTCGCTTCAAGAACCATGAACACAGTTATAAGGTAACGCTCTCTTCGCGCTCACATGCACAATTTTGTAACAGCTAAGAGCTGTGTGGAGTTTCTAAAGGAGTTGTTAATGGAAACCTCTGAATATCATGATCATTGCATATCAGACGTCTGCTCTCTGTCCATTAGTTGGAGCAGAAGCTGCTGAAAACGGCTAAAGAGAAGATGGAGCAGCTGAGCAGAGCCTTCATTTGCCGTAAGCTTCTCCTTCACTGACCTCACCCTGTGGTTGGGAAGAGCTATTTCAGAATAAATATAATCACTATTACATTGCTCTCATCCTCGACAATACATCCAGTCATAATGATAAGTGTGCGTGTATGTGTGGATCTTTTCTGGTGTAGGTGAAGGCACTCCTCCAGACACGAGGTTCATCGAGGACGGTGTGTGCGAGCTGCTGAAGACGCGGCGCGTGCTGAAGTGCTCTTACCCATACGGCTTCTTCCTGCAGCCAGGCAGCACCCAGAAAGAGATATTTGAGCTCATGCAGGTGATCTCCTTAATACAATATCGGTTAGGCATGCATCCTTGGCGAGAACAAGACTAACAACTTTATCAGCCACTTCTGTGATCCAGAAAGAGGCCTGTTGATTCAACGCTACAGGGCTGAAATGGTTATTGTTAGTAGATTCTCTGGCATTTTGACTATTTGATTTGTACTTATATGTAGGAATGGGCATTTTGCCCTTTTTAACATGGTAGGATGATCAATTTCAAAAGAAAAATTAATAGAAGTTTGTGAAGATGTTTTGAGCAGAGCAACTTTCTTTATGGACAAACAGCAGTTAAAAATGTAATGCAAATCCCTTTTTAAATTTCTTTGGTTAAGTGGAAGATATTTTTTTCCTTAACAGACGGATCTGGAGATGGTGGTGGAGGATCTGGCGCAGAAGGTGAACCGGCCGTACCTGAGGACACCGTGCCACAAGATCATCAGTGCAGCCCGGCTGGTCCAGCAAAAGAGGCAGGAATTCCTGGCATCTGTGGCCCGTGGCGTGGCTCCCAATGACTCTCCTGAGCTTCCCCGCAGGAAGTGAGGACAAACATGATAATACATAAACAAAATGTGTTTTTTCTTTGCTCAGTTTAAGAAATTCACAAAAGAGACACAGGCAGTAATTCAGGAGACGAAGTACAGTTATAAATACCTGTGAGAAATGTTTGTGTTTGCTTTTCTTTCAGCTACCCGGGAGGATCATGGGACTGGGAGTACCTGGGTTTTGCCTCTCCTGAGGTAAACAGAGAATTTCACACCACTAAAACAATGCCTTTATATTTTACTAAGATAATGCTACTCTTCAAAAGAAAATGCTGGTACAGTTGGTGACCTATTTCTTTATGAGGTTATATGATGCATGAATACGTCTGACTTAGTTTGCGTATGTTTTAAGATGGGGAGTCGTCACTCTGTACTGGGAGCAGATCAAAGAGAGAGACAGTCACAGGTAACGCACCGTAATCTTCCTGGTATCTTTTGCATGTGCATGGACTGAATTCTGATTTGCAACACAGCTGCTTGGAGTAGCTTTTGTAGTAACTCAGTTTGAATCCCTCTCTGCAGGATTATGCTGACATTCAGTACCGTCGTAGACACCGGCCGCGGCGCAGAGGAGACATGCTGAGTCTGCACAACCTCAGAAGCAACAGCAACACACCAGAGACCAGCAGGAGAAGTGACAACACAGGTATGGAAAACAGACCTTATATAGAGACATATATAAT